GTTCGTCCGTTAGGTGCGCGACGGAGGAGCGCCATCGACGTATGCACCCGCTCAGAAGGGAGAGCGGAGTCGAAGGAAAGAGGGTGACACAGACACAGAGATGTACCTGAGCCTATCCTACTGGCTACTCCTCACTCTTAGAGGTAAGTACAAAGTGAGGTTCACTTCAGATTTTTCTTTATTTTCCATCCCCTCACGACGATAACTTCTAATTTCATCTTGTGACGTTTCAGACCTTATAAACTTTTGCCCCTCTCCTGAGAAAAGTTTAGATAAAAAAAGGGACTTTAAACGTTTTCTTTCTAAAAAAAATTACATCGTCCGGGATATAGAAGAAAAAGTAACCCTTTTGTTCTTAATACAGTGGACATTATGTATCGTGTTTGTTTGTCTGTCCGTTTCTATAGGCTAAAATGTGATTAATTACTTCAAATTTTGATTATTTTTACAAATTTCGAAGCATTTCTGTAACAGAAACGTTTATTCTTGTTACAAAATGAAGAATTTCTGTGACAGAATGAAGTATGAAACAAAGATAACTTGTAACTAGTTGCTAATACGTTACGCAAATAGAAAAGAAAATTACTTTTTGCCTATGCTCAGTGAATGGATCGATATGACAAGGATCTGTTTGTTAATTTCGGGCAAGAAGACGTAAAAAATTTCATAAAGTTTCTTATAAAAATATATATTTTTCATCTAGAACTCAATTTCTATTATTATAAAACAAGAGTTTTCCAACTAACGTCTCCGAAGTTAGAAGAGTAATAAATATAAAGAAATAACAGAATATTCCACCCCAATCTTTAGTATAAAATATAATACTTATGCCCCATTATAAGCATTTTATTCATTGTCCCTAAATTGGCGAATAATTAATTAACCCCAGGACTTATATAAACGTGAATTTAGGGAAGAAATTTAGTGTGATAGACCGAGTTGTGACGTCGTGATAAACCGTTAGTGGAATAGAACACGATAAAGGGGGATTAAATCGGGGAGGGAAAGAAGTGGAGCATTAATATAGTGAAGAGGGTGTTCCCACATCCGAGGGTGATCCACAACAAAGATCATTTCTTAAGAGAAAGCAATATTTAATGCTCCCTGATGGAATATTAAATGATTTCTCTGGCCGGGTGGAGAAAAAAAAAAAAAAAACTCCGGCCACAAATTTCAATTCCAGATAAGTGGCCGTTTTTCACTTATATGGCTTCGTTTCGGTTCCTTTCCACCCCCCATTTACTCTAAGACGAGTTAATAACTGGAGACAAAATTAAAGACCGTTTTCCCGTGTTAATTTACCATTGCTCCTCCGGGTCTCTTTCAAAGTTATTTCTGGAATCCAACGTCTATCCTTATAAAACTCGCTCCTTACTTTAACACTATCTCAAATGTAGATTTTTAATGCGCTGAGTGGGATTTTTTCCAAAAAAAATTACCGATTTTACGTCGAAATTCTTAACTTTATGTAGATAGGTGTCGAGTTTGACTTAAATTTCGTAAGATATTGACGTTGAAATTACCGAAAACTTGCAAAAATATAGACAAGATCCCTCTCATATGGTCATCGATTTCTATTGGAGACGGAGAGTAACTTATCATCCCATCTGAATATAGAGAGGATGCCATTTTCTTATAGAGAATAGAATACAACCCATCACTAACCTTGGATTTAATTAAAGATAGAAAGTCACTAACCAATAGATTTGATTATAGATAGGATGCTATTTGTTATAGAAAGAGAACGTAACCATAGCTGACCACTCAGTTTCGTTATAGATAAGATTTTATTATAAAGAATAGGGGAGTAACATGCCGTAACCGCATCTTTCATTATAGATAAGATACCATTGATCACTTTTATTATATATAGATTGGGGCCATCTAAGAGCTGATTTAGCCTGTTTTCAAAGGCTTATAATTATATTTAACTGTAATAAAACTTTATAAATACGTCGACAAAGTAATATTTAAATAGATAAAGTTGTGGGATAATATGATAAAGCGTAAAATTCGGATAAAATTGTAAGAATTTCTATCGTTTATACATATATAAATATTTTTATTAAGGTGTTAAATGTTATAAAACTCGATCGAAGTTTTATACGTATCTTCAACACCCTTTGTGACATCTCTACTTTCGATTCTCGACAACGAAACATAAACCGTATACTTTTTTTTTATTAAAAATTGATAGGAAAATGTTTGAATACATCTTAAGTTGATATATTTACATTATTTTTATACGCAAGAATGTAATTCTTATCAAATTTTGCTTCTGCTTGGTCCGATAATCTTCCTCCTCCTTCACATTATACGAAAGAGGAGATCAATCTTTTCTCCATTTTTATAAGGTTTATTTTCATTTCTCACATTAAATGATGGGTTTAAATAAATAAAATTGCTTATATACATGCTATGTATGCAATTTTAAACTTTTATTAAGCGTGTTCTCCTGTATCGATTGTAAATGAAAGCTTTTGATACACACGATGCACGCGATGACACATGTTTTCAAACTAATATCTTCTATGACCCCTAATAACAGTAATTTCGACGTAATGTTAACCGCTCTTGTGGCCACTCTTATTCTGCATACAGATTTTAGAGATAGAAAGAAAATTGGAGAGGTCATGTTCATCTCGGTGTTCTGTTTCTAACAGCATCCTTATCCAGTTACACATATGAAAGTTATACAAGTCACATCTCTTATTAATTGAGAAAATGATAAAGTTCCGATCTATTTCAGACTAGAAACTAGATAAAACAAGACGTAATTTTTGTAAAAACAATACAAAAATTGATTAGGACGGCTATTAAAGTTTCAAACATAGTTAAAGGGTTGATTCAGTGCATCGTTATCAGCCTACAGGAAGCACGTGTACAGAGACGATAGAGTTAAAATGTATGCTTCAATAAATATCGATTGGCATAAACCTCATTTTATGATGGTAACTTCATCTCAATTGTCAATTTACAAATTAAAAGACGAGAAATGTGGCAAGTTTCTATATACTACATTTAATCAGAGTTACCCATTTGGTAGATTGAGATCTCACAATAAAGATATTCCTATCGAAGAAAGAGCAAATAAACAATTGAAGATATATATATTCTATATAAAAACAGAATATTCTATTAATAAAAATATATATATATATTCTTTACAAAAATATTTTTCTTTCCTTCTTAGATAAACGTATCGAACTTTTAGCTTTGTTTCTGCTTCGACGAGACGGAAAATATCAAAGAAGATTTCCTTTTGTTTAATCACATTCAACTTCTTATTTGTAATATATTTTGCAAAGCTCTTATATTCTAAATAAGCTCTCAACATATTAAATTAGATACGTTTACTCGCAGGGACTTGTCTAATAATTCCTTACTTTAACATCCAATATGGAGAATTCGAGTAGGATGCAAGAAAATCTATTCTTACTTTCTATAATTCTTCAGTAAACTCTTATTCCTACAGCAACAAAGACTTTGGATATTCCTGTAATAGCCTCTCCTACATTCATTTATTCTTACTCCTTACAATTCGCTTGTACTTTCCATATCGTAGAAGTTAGAAGTGTATCCTACAAGTTCCAAATTTGAATTACGTCTGGTATAATTCGGTGAAATTATAGAAGGAAAGTGGATCTTTTATCTTTAGTCTCTAGAGTTTCGTTGATAAGCATCACACACACACACTTAAGATAATATATTTGTATAGAAGCTGTTTCACGGAGACATATGAAGAGATTCTCATCTTCTCCATCTTTTTGCATCCTACAGGAATTAGACGTTTAATAATAGGAAAAGGAAATAGCATAAATCGAGTCAGAAATTCCCAGATTTAATTATGTTTCTAAATTTATCTCCTTCGACGTCTATCACCTCTTTACTTCTTCATTGTTTTAAGCGTAAGACCTGTGATATAATCTATAAATTCTACAAAATTTCTTATTAAAATTCAAATTTAACTTGGTAGATGCAGATAATACCTTCCAGTCATTCTCATAGATTACACACTTCGAGCTATTTATAACTATCAGAAAAAGATAAATAATATATATAGAATATTAATTTAATTAACAGTAATAATTTTACATAAATATAATGATAAATTTTAAAATAAACAGCATACAAAATATGATAATTTATATTTATAACACCGAGATTGAAAAGAAAAATTATACGGTGTTGGACAGGTTGTATCTGTATACTTTGTCAATTTTATATATGAAAATATCGATCCTCTTGTTACTCCTGTAACAAGAATTGATAAAGGATTTTCTCGAATTGATTCCAAAAATTTAAAAAAAAAAAAAAAAAAATAACACTAGAACTCGAATCCTTTGCAAAATAAATGAATACGTAATTTATTTGTATGTGGATTACTGAAAGGTTCCAGTACAAATATTAAATCTCTCAAATAACACTTCTTGAGTTCGTTCTGAGAGATTTTTCTATAATTATATCTTATTTTTCATCTATTTTTTTAATGTTATTTATTAAATTTTATTATATTTTGTCTCTTGTAAAATAATACAGATAATTTCTTAAAGCTTTCACAGATTAAGTTAAATGTCAAGATAAACAAAGCCTTAGGTAAAAGTATTGTTTAAACTGTAATGTAAGTTTTAAATCTTAGATAAGATGTAAAGTACACATAATTACGAGTCAGCTTGTTGACGTGAGAAATGGTTCGTATAGGATAACGAAAGGAATGAAGAGAGAGAGAGGTTTTCCTCTCGCTCTTCATCCTATACGAACCATAGTAGCTTATCTTTAATCTTTTTATCGTCTTTCTCTTACATTCTGCTAAATAATCTTTACTTTCTTGAATTCTCATAGACGAATTACTTTGTAGTACAGTACGATGATACAAATCGAAGAGAAAAATGTAACAGAACAATTATCGTTTTTTCTCCGCGATTAACTCCAAAATATAACAATAAAGAAAGCAATTTTAACGCCTCTTTACTTCAACATTTATCGTTTTTATGTTATAAATGGAACAGTTTATAACAGTAACATATCGATGTTATGTTATAAAGTAACAGGAGTTTTTCTTGTTTTGACAGAGTCATCGATAATATTTTTAAAAGGTTTTTTTCCCTCTATTTATTATGTTTACGGTGATTTATATCTGTAAAGTCTATACACAAATATCAATTTACGTATACTGATCGGTAAATAAGTATTTTTATAATAATAGATATATAGTTTATATTACTGTATATATTTGAAATTTAAATATATTTTACAAAAAATTGTCTTTTTTTAAAACATTTAAGCAGTTTAGAAGCATAATAAATGCTAGTTTTTTACAATAGATTCCTTACTAATATGCTCTTTACTCTTGAAGTAAGAAGCAAAGTTTCTTTCCTTCACGTAGAAGTCAATAAAAATCTACTTAATTGACACATCTATTAACGATTAATATACGTAAAAGAAGCATTTAATTGTAGAATTTCTTAAAAGTTAAAAATATTAACATAATTATTACAATATTTACAGTTGATAAGTGAATAATGTTGATATCTATCAGATTAAAATTGATGTTTCACTGCAAAGCACGATATCACTGCAGCAAAGACAGTTTTACAGGGGCTAGCTATGCAGGAAAGCCAACGTTTTCTAACAATCATTTTACAATGCTCATTTATTTCTACATTAGAGAAAAGAGCTATTAAACAGAAAATAACAGGAATTTCTAAAATCTCGATAATCCTTAAAATGTGCTTCCTTATCCTCTTCGTGAGAAGAGAAGGATAAAGAAGCAGATAATAATTTTTTATCTCTTCTTTACTGCATCATGATTTGCCCAACTATCGAAGAAGTAAGATCAGAATTGTGATTTACGACATTGGCTACACTGCAGACAGTTTCTTAAGCTTTTTCCCCAATTCGAAACGTAGATTTTATGAATCTATCATCAGGTGGAAATAAATGATTCCAGTTGTAGCCATCTAGATTAAAAATATTACATTCAAGACTCGTCTTCAATGCATTATTGAGTCTTTAGAGGGGTTATCCCGATCCTCTTTAATCACGAAAGGAACTCATTACGAGAAAATGATCAATCTTAAATATCAATATCGAGAAATTTTAAAGTTTAAGAATGAGTTTTGATGCAATATTTTATCTTTAAACTGTCGATAGATGGTAATATTGGGCAGGTAGCTCTAGCATCTTTATTAATTAGTAAGAGAAGTGATGAAGTAATGGAAAATATAGAACGAAGAGTGAGAAGAAAGTAAATGGATCTCGTTAAGAGATTGAAACAATTTTGGATCCACTACAGAACCAGAAAAGGAGCGAGTTTCTCTAATTTTGGCCGATGGCACGTGGTCTGTTCGCTTTATTCCCGGATGGCTAATGCGGTAGTCGAGTGCAGAGAGTGAGATAGCTCTTCTATATTTCAGACGATGGCTTTCCAACGCAACCGGCCATAAAAATCTGTGTTTTCTTCTTCCCACCTATAGCAAATGGGCGCGTGGTTTTCTTCCACCCACTCGTTACCGTTATTACAAGCAATAAAATGGGTTAGAAGTAGAGGCGTCGATCTATTCCTGGTCGAGTCCACTTTCCTATTTGAATTATTCACCCCGAATATTGGGAAACGGGTCCGTACTAATCTTTAAAAAATCGGGTCTGGCACGTTGTGTTTATTCTACCAAAAGAAAACAAAAACGTCACTTCCTGACCCGTGCCCCGGGTCATTTTCCTATCTCGTACTCCTCTACAAGAATGACAATATAGTTTGGAGTTGGGTCGAATTCGCTCGATCGAATCCCTCGTCTTTCTTGCTCCTTATTTTCTTCTTGCTCATTGTTCCTTCGCCTTATCAAAGTTAACAATATTCTAAATTGTAGTCGAATAAAGGCAAAAAAAATCCTTCGAGAAAAGAAGCTTAGTCTTCTACAGATTAATTATGAATATGATTTATTTATGACGTTTAAACAGGGTCGACAATTAAGTTAACTTTTTCCATTCTCTGTTTTTCTCATTTCTCAACTTCCTATTACTATAAACAGGTATATCAACCCATCTTTTCGTTTGGCTTTACGCAGCGCAAGAGGCTCATTCTACCAACTGTAGCTATAAATCTTAGAAGATGCGCTTACATCGTTCATCCTGTAAAGTGTTCGAAAGAAGTACTCGATGCTCTTTCTTCAAGTTTGCTAAAGAAGATAACTTTCATCTCTTCCCGACGTTCTATTTTCATTTCCAAATCCCTGTTTCTACTTCTCAACATGTTTTAAACTATACTACACATCCATCTAATCTTGTATTTCCCAACCAGTGGGTTTCGGTCCTCTCGAGAGTTGTAAACTATTCTAAATTGTATCACATTTTCTAGAAATCTCTAAATAAAAAAACATTAAAGAAAGTAATTTAATCTATCCGATCTTTCATTTCTTATCATAAAAATCCTGAAAATATTTTTAACAATCCATGTTTAACTGATCTATTTTTAAGTTATCGATAGAAGGATCAGTGTGTTTGTTAACGTGGATAAAAGTGGATTAAACGTAACAAAATTCAACCTTTATAGTCGAGAAACAATGTATAAATCTTCGAATCATTTCTCTTTAAAATCTATTCTAATTTCCTAGACTTTATCACTCGTTTCTTAGCTTTTAAATGCTGCAGGATCAGGCTTTTGTGATAAAGTAATTCTAATCTAATCTAATTCTATATAAATTTAAGAATTAAAATGAGTACGAACATGTTTAAAATGCTAAATTATCTTACTATTTTCTGCACTGATTCACTCCATAAAAATATTTGACACATATTAATATCGATTTTGACTAAGAAAATGTCCAGAAAAGGCGAAACTTTTTAAAGATTTAAGATAATTCTAGGCTTTAATGAATTAACAAAAGGAATGATTATAAGAAACAGACTCGAAGATTCTCATCCTTATTAAATTAAACCTTTTTTAAAAGGCGCTAGACTTAACATTCTTTTAGACATCTTAGCATCTTTTCAACTCGACAAAATGAGTATAGAAAGACGTGTAATGAATATAATTACTAAGCTAATTCGAATCTAAGTCTTCGAGTCTAAGAAATAACTATAAAAGTCTAAAAATTCCTAATTTTCCAACCGAAAAAAATGAAAAATTCTATTACTTAAAATACGATGTGTATTATCGCTAGCCATTTTCGAAAAATTCCGATGTTAATTGTCGAAAACATAAAAGAATTTCGGAAATGATAAGAGAAGATACGCTCCAAAAGCGCACCAAATGTTAATAATTCAGTTTTGAAAGTTAATGTATAAAGACTAGAGCTAACACAATTAGGTGTTAGAGCGTTTAGTTTATCGCTGCTTACTTTATAAAATTTAATATCCTTGCAAATGTAGCATACCAGATATTATCACGTGAGAAATTTGCAGAATGGGTGGCGTAATTATTCAACAGTAAGAGAGAAAAGTGTAGAAGAAGAAGAAGAAGAAGAAGAAGTGAAAGAAAGGAAGTTATCGAGGCAGAAAAGTAAATAGCCAGACACAACCCGATTTATATTTAAGAACACATTTTCAGAAATCTAAGAAATTCACTAGAATCAGGTTTTCTCCAGGGTCTAACACCAATGCCGGGAGACCGCAATATCTTACTTTTACACCTCGACAACTTCGATCGAATTTGTCTTCGGTTCCGTCCTTTACGAGCATTTTTCATCCATTTCTATTTGAAAGATAGGAACAACCCCTTCCGAAAAAAGCACTAAAAATGGAATTTTCGTTCCAACCGGAAGATAAAATGTCTCTGTTTTAACATTAATGGAGACGTTCGAGGGACGGGACGATGGGTAATCCACAATTTAACGTGGGAGAAATGGGCCTAAAAACTCTTCTCTACTTTGACCATGTTCAAAAAAAACTTACAACCGTATTCCAGGTTTGGATTGCTTACGTTTGGCGAAATTAGAAGTACCCGAAGCAGTTTTACGTGGACGTCCCGTCTGGCTGAACTGCAGTTACGATTTGGAGAGTGATCAATTGTATTCTATCAAATGGTATAGGAACAACGTCGAGTTCTATAGATACTTGCCCAGCGACCGTCCTCCTGCTCAGAAATACGATTTACACGGAGCGTATCTGGACGTGAGTACGATCTTCCGCGTGTTCTTTTTTTTAATGGATACGTTTGATCTTAATTGGTTGAGAGTGATTCCAGTGTCTATTAACAGTTGGGAATCTCGCGCCTGGGTAACGTTTATCTATATCGCACCGATCTGAATTCCGAGGGAGTTTATAGGTGTGAGGTGTCGGCCGAGGCACCTTCTTTCCAGACCGTTCGTGAAGAAAAAGAGATGAAGATTTATGGTTAGTATCGTTTTTCTTTATTAAACCCTTTTATTTTTCCTCAAATCTTGCAAATTTCACTAACTTCTAAATAAGATTCTTTAAGGCAAAGTATCTTATTTAGTCAAAGTTACGTGACCTTTTCACTACGCCTATCTTTGTGTGATAGCAGCAACTTCACTGCTGACAAATGTCAATTGTGTTTGGTAAACTACTCGTCGCGCAAACCTCGTTGGTTTGTTTACCGTCCTCACTCTTTCTTTATTTATTTTAAGTTCTTCCGGAACACGGGCCGAAGATCGGAGGTACCAGAACTCACTACGAAGTAGGTCAAGAGGTCAACGCTAACTGTTCATCCGCAGCTTCCAAGCCAGCAGCAGTACTTCGATGGTATCTCAATGATAAACAGGTGAGTCAATACTTCTTTCTTTTCCGTTTTTTCTTCCTCCTATCTCTTATTATAAAGAAAAATATTGTATTTCTTGAGCTATAATTTTTGATTATTGATTTTTCTACTAAATTAACCAATTCGGATTTCGATAACTTTAACGTTTTTGTTAACATTTTTACACAAAAATATCAGATTTTATGGGCATTACATTATTTTGCACGGAATCTCCGAACAAAATTACATTCACAAAATGACGTTACGAGCTCTTAAGTCAAAGAAAATGGACGTCTTTACGTTTATCCTCGCTTCATCCTCCTCCTCCTCCTCCTCCTCCTCCTACATCTTCAGTAAATGTTTTAAAATGAAGATTTTATCTATCTTTTTTACATACTTTTATTTACATTTTTTCTCTGAATTATGTTAATATCACAAAATATAAATCATTAAGATAAAAATATTTATATCTTTTAATGTATATAAGAATAGAAATTCCGTAAACTTAAAAACAAATCAAATTTAAAATATAATTGCATTTAAATAAGAAATTAAAGCGTGCAAAAAGTAATCTTTTGCGACCTCTCGTGTTCATTTCTGGCATTAATTAAAAATATCGATGGTATTTTTAATAAATGATAAAAGATTTATGATAATTTTCGTACATTCGTAGCAAATTTCGATGCGATATTTTGCAAATAAATAAATATATATATTTTTTTTTATAGAGTAGAAAATATCGATTGTCACTGATTAGCAATACACGTCGACTTCACAGTTATATTTTAAACTAAGGAGCTAAACAAACGGCATTTTTCACAGCAGGAAGAGGGAAAAAGTAATCAAAACACACGTAAACTTAGGCATTACCAACGAATACGACAATAAATGTATTTTACAAGCGTATATTTCTGAAAATATAACCATTTTTAAGGACATAAATATGCATTTTACTCCCGTGTAAGGGTACACGAACCTGGTCTCGTAAACGTTAGTAAAGGTATTTTAACATCCAAACTGTGATAAGAAAGGAGAAGTTTATGGAAAATGTTAAGCTAAATTCTTATAATTAATTCTCAAAACAGCTGCCGAACAATCGCAAATCCGTTTTCTAGTTCCAGGTGGGTGATGAGGATAGAATTTGTGGCCCTGTCCATTGTCTTTTCGCAGGAGAATCGTTTGATAGAATTTTTTCGTGTTAAGACGCCTTTAGGGAGTTTGGACCAGGAAACGAGGTCCTGTTTGACAAGATATTGAAAAATTCTCGCGGAATACACCGCATATATATTGAAGATAAATATTTTAATACGTAAACATCCTCCTTTATCTCTAGTCGAGTACGTAAACAAAGAAAGAACCTTATCTTTCTCTTCGCTCCTCCTCTCACTTTGATGACTTTTTTTCTTTATTCTAAGCTCCAATACTTTCCCGTTGACAATTAAAACCCACCGTTCAACATTCAAATTATTTAATTAAACGTAAATTCGGTTGTTAAAGAACTATTCCGTCTTAAAATCGAGTTAGAAAACAGAAAAGATCAGGATCGTGTATAGAAAACAAGGTGTAGTTTCTCTTTATGTGTATCTCTTTTATCAATTTAGTGGATGTAAGGTTGATGTTTCGACAAGAATTATACTATTTCTTCGTTTGAATCTTTTTTATTTTTGCTAGAAGGGTAGATTCTCATCTCTTCTGTTTCCCTCCGTTTCTGGAGAAAGCAGAGGAAATAGAACTTTACTGTTATACTTAATTAGAGAAATTGTGCTACTTCTTACAATTTTTATCTATTTTTGATTCTAACGCAAGGTTTTTTGGGCATTTTATAATATTAAACTTGAAACTATTCCAAGAAAAATGTGAATTTTATATCATTCCTTTTTCGACATTTTCTTTCCTTCAAGTTTTATTTTTTTTTCTTTAAATTTTTATACGTATTTATTGACATTTTTCAATTTAGAAAAGAGCTTTTTTTCCCCTCTTCTGCCTCAAACCACTTCACCAATTCTTAGTTTATTTTTGTATTGATTTTCTCATTGTTTGTCCGTCACAACTCTAACGCTACGCGACGCGACGCGCCGCGTCGAGGCGCGCAGTTGATCAAAATGGAGGAGACACGCGATGTACCTAATCTCGTATGCTCATTTCATGCTATCCATATTAATTTTCTCAGGTGCCGGATCGTCTTCTTATCAAGTATCCTCCGTCTCGGTTCCTAGACGGTCTGGAAACCACCACTTTAGGATTGAGATTTCGTGTGGATCGGAACAGATTTTGGGAGGGAGCCATGAATCTACGATGCACTTCGGTCGTGTTTCACACCTACACGACCAGCAAAGAAGAAATCGTCTTCAACAACGATATCCATCCTTCCAATTTGCAATCGGGTGAGTAAACGGAGCCACTCATTCCTCCACGCATCACTAAAAAAACAGTACCTTGTGTGTAGAGATGAGCGAATGTTCCATTTTATACACTCTTTCTTTGTAAAATCTTGTGGTTTTAAGAGGGATGCCATTCTCTTAAGCACTGTTCGATCTTCGAGAGATGTATGACGTAGATTGTATTGTTTGTAGGAACGTCGACTAGCGAAGGACCGACGATAAAAGGGATTCATAGACGATACAAGCCATCCGATCGCGTCAATGCTACGTGTGTCTCTTACAGATCGATCCCTCCTGCCTCTATCAAGTGGTATATCAACGACGAGGAAGTAAGATGCTCTTTTCCTTTCCTTCATCTTATTGTAATCTACTTCAAATTCAGTCGGTTGGAGACGACAGTATATTAATTGTATACTGTCTTTTTAGGCAGATTCTTCCTTCCTACTGCACTACCCTACTATAATCTATCCCGACGGGAAGAAATCAACGGTAGTGGGATTAAATTTCGTGGTATACCGTGAACACTTCATCAAAGACGAGCTAAGGCTAAAGTGTGCTTCTACAGTATCCAAAGTGATTAACCAAAGTAGCAGAGAAGCTGTTTTACGAAGTCTCAAACCACATCCGGATTCGTCGGTATCTCAAACGGTAGAAGCACGTAAGTCCCCTCTCTTTACTACGTAGATTTAAAGAAGACTTACTTCATTTATATCACCCAATTATTATCCAGAAGACCGTAAAAGTCGTCTTAACTCGATTTGTAACATCCAGGTGGCCAATAATTCCCAATTAAATTCCTAACTCTCCCGCAAAAAGTCGTAACTTTATAATTGTTCTTCGGATTAATTTCGCAGATTGACCCGAAATGCCCGACATTCCGAGTTTCTGGTTCCTTCAAATTATGAATTAACGAGGAAGTCTTTCCTCGAATCGTCTACTTTCTTCTTCCTTGAGAAAAATTACCATCTGTTACAACAACGCCATGAATTTTCCACGTTACGATCCAACCGGTGGGTATAATGACGGACATTTTCGTCTTCCTTCAATGAATAAACCTCTACTTTATTCATCTCTAATTAGAAATAAATTAAAGCTTTAACACTTGCTTAGGATTTTTATTCGAATCGCGTGTTCAAAGCGCTTCCATTTTGACTTTTAAATCAAACAATACTTCATAGCCTATTTATACCACAAAGAATGAGAAACACGCTCTCTAGTTAGGAACCGAAATCAGGCGTTAGCGAAATCTTTCATCCTTCGGCATGGACCCCAATAATACTTCCATATTTCAAAGCGTAAGAAATAAAAATGCATCTTTTCCTCTAAGTCTTCACTGTGGCACGTGTAACAATATATAGCAAACGTCTTGACCACATGGCCTGTGGAATGTGTAACTAAGATTCTTCACTGTGGCATGTTTCTGTAATCTTGATTAATTCTGTGGCTTTCTTCATATTGTGTGAAAATGTAAACCCATTCGGTTCTTATGGAAAACCAACGATTTGCAATCCGTTCCTTCCAATCCTCGCAATAAATACAGTCGACCCCCTTATAACACGGGTTCCTATAGTTCGGATTCCTATATGACTGCGAAAAAATTGCTTCGGTATCCGTACAAACATGGTAAAAAAACTCCTATAATTCGGTGCAGCCGAACTACTTTCCGCCGTCCAGCGCCACACTACGGAGAGTTTAGGCGAGTAAGTTGAGTTTACTATTGTCTGTACAGTATGTAAATTAGGTACCGTAAGTCTAATACAGTACTGTAATTTTATACATTTCTTGTGAAAGAAACATTTCTTATTCAACGGCCATAAAAATTATTTATATTAATGATGTCTCCAAAGTTCAACGAAGTTTTCGCAGAAAAATAACTTATCAGAAATCGCGGCCGCCGTTTGGTGCGCTGCTCCGCGACGAAAACAAGCTTAAGCAATGGCGACGTCGAACGATGCACACTCGGTAAGTAATCCTACAATATTTTGTTTATAGCATAGTTTATACGGATTATTCCCAAAAAAATATACGTATTTTGGAAATGTTGAGTCGAATTAGTCTAGGAATCGATTAATTTTATGGAAGAAAACCTTTCAAACAGTCATAGTCCGTAAAGTGCATACGTGCCGGGCTGTGATTGGCAAGGACTCGTACAAAATGGATTCATAAAGAACGGAACGTATCTACCGTGTTATAGGGGGTCGACTGTATTTGGCAATTTTAAATTGCAAAAATTCACAAAAAAAACTTTTACACCATTGTCCAATTAACTTAATTTACGAATGTCAAACAGTTGTTATAAAATCCATTGTTCTTGCTGACGAGTGAACTCCTCATTATTATTATTACATCTAACATTTTTATTGAAATTATATAATGTAAGTTTCTTGTTTACAGTTCTGAATACGGCCGTCAGTCATCAGCACCTATTTCTCAGATTGTTCTTCGTCTGTCTTCTGATCTCGACGGTGTCCTAACGTCAGACTTCTCCACCCCAACCGAAAAAGAAAAAATCCTGCTGAACGATGAGGATCCAGTCGGAAGATCCGGTTTGCCGAGCCAGAAAATAATCTCTTCGGCTAAATTTTCGGCAACGAAACCCCATCCGGAAACAGTCGAATCCGGTTTCCGTTCCGGACGCAAAGATGACGTCACTTTTTATACCCGTCGTTCCACTGGTTTCCGTTTATCGCTGCTCTTGTTATTGACACGACTGCTTGAAGATCCGATACGGTGATCGTTACGCAATTTCCTCTTCTTCGGTCCAGCAAAAAAACAATTTTATAACTTTTAAACGTTATAGTTTAGTTATAAATAAAATATAGTTACTTCATTAATGAAGTTCAGAGAATTCACTCATTTATCACAGTAAAAAAACGTTTGTTGCATTGTGAAGTGTCATTCGTGATGAGAGAAATGCAATATGCCATTTGCATGGGCTCGTTTGCCACGTTGCAATGAGGGATTCGGGTTCGAATCCGACTGTTAAGGGGTTAATAAATCGGTAAATGTTTCGAAAACAAACTGTTAACATATGGTAACGTCAAGAGTATCTTTCACAGCGCCTCTTCTTCCCTAGTGATGAAAACGTAAACTATTTTCCTTATTATTATTCAAAACCACGCGAGAACCATGATGTGGATCATTCACAAAACAATAGGATTTTCATTAATTTAGTGTGTTTTAAGCAGTATTCGATGACAATTATATTATTCAAGTTAACAGTAAGAGAAAAATATTACATATTTCATGATTTGTAACGAAATTTCTTAGATTTACAATGAAATTAACGTTAAGGAACATAAAAATCAAGGATATAATTCTAAAAAAAAATAAAAAAAACATCCTGACACTAATTCACAAAAAAAAGAACAAGAAGCGTTGTAAATAAAATATTACGAAGTAAAATTTGTGATAAAAAATATTTATAATCAGCTTTATTTTTTAAAATAAACATGAAATAATGAACGACAATCCATAATAATTCTGTTGTAGGACATTAATCATCCACGCCGTTGCAGTTCATTAGGAAAATCAATTGAATCAAAATTCTGATGCAGATTAGTTGAAGAATTTCAAATAAAAAATGGAAAAAAAACTAAAAAAGAAATTATTTTTTTGAAATAAATAATAATGGCCGGTGTAAACGAAACAATAAGACGTAGCACTATCTACCTACACGTGTATTTATTGTAAATAATTGGAAAAATTTGATAATTATGAGTAACGACTGGTTAATTTTAATTGGGTTTACCCAAGCGCGAGGTGGAGCAGATACTCTTAAGTAAATGCTTGTCCCTATAAAGAAGCCCCTTAAATAATTTACAATATAATCTAGGAACGTGTTACCTAATCTCGATCTTGAAATTTCTTCAGTTGGCATGTGATAAATTAGCCAATTCGTTAAGTACAAGATAGACTTTCCTAATTTCGGATAATAGGAGACGGTATTAATCAGATTGGAAATTAGCAAAGAACGGCTCACTAGACTGTGTGACGAAATAAAAGGGCAATGACGCCATATATATATATACCTCTTCTAATAGCTAAGCTCTATTATTCTATTAATATGAGGTAAGAAGGTTAAACGTTTGTCAAAAATTTTATTAAAAATTGATTAAAATGAGGCATTGAATTTTCTGAGATCAAGGTATTTGTTGCAGGGAATAGTTCAACTTCTATCAATGACACAAGTAGAACCACAAAATTATTCCAACATATAAACTAAAATACCTCAAAACTGGTAAGGAGATAATAGTTTGAATAAACTAGAATTGTATTATTATTAGTAATAGTTAAACTATCCAATTACTCCCTCCGAATTAGGCGCACTCCTTTACAGGAAAAACAGAAATGAGCCTTATTTGTATTGAGGAAATTATGACATAACAGAGATGCAAATTGAAATACAGGGAGCCTTAATGATATACTTACTGAAGCTGATGTCCAGTTGAATGATGAGTGATGGAAGAGGAATAGGAGGAGAACGGTGTACTCTAGGAAGATAATAGCTGGAGGGAGAGAAGATAAATAATTGAATATATATGAATTCTTAATATATTTTACAGATGCTTGCTATTTTCTTTTTGATAATTGTAAAGATCTGGATCAAATTCAAAACTGATCCCTTACACTGTAAATATTGATACTTTATTATGTACAATTTTTACGACTTTAAAGTGTGTAGAAAATAATATAGAAAATCTCAACCTTATACAAAACTTTATTTTCAATATATTTATACAAAATATAAAAATATTACTTATTTTTACATCATATACAACTTTTATTTTATATTGGAAGAACATGGCAAAAGATATATTAAATTATTAAATAAAAATAAAATATTACAAATTTACAGTCCGAGTGTACTCAAACGAGATTTTCCGACGGATGGCGAGAGGCAAACAGCTTCCTCGGACTGCCCCGTGCCGACTTTAATTTATTTATTTATTAGCAAAACCAATGGTTCTACTACAATAACAAATGCTCAGTAAAATTCAACTAAGAGCATATATATTTTGAACCGAAATGTTTATTATCATTACATAACAGCAAAATAGCTTTCAAAATATAGTAGCAGTAAAAGTTTAAAACACATTCAGTCGAAAAATCCCAGGAAATTTTTAAAGCCCAGGATATGTCTGGCCCCATTTCTCATTGTACAGTCTCCCCATTTTGAAAAAAATTTTTTAGCAAAGTTATATGTTTATCAGAATATTTTTAAGCAAGTTACAAACAACAAAAAGTTTGATGCAGTCTACACATTAAAATAATAATATTGTATTAAAAAATTAATATATAACCCTTATGCCAAAACTTCCAATCTAAAGAAATATTGATACCAAAAATATTTATAACAATTAAAAAAATAAAATATTTATAAATACCTCTGAAATAAACCAAACATCTGTCGGTTGTGAAGAGAGTTTCTCGATTTGATTCGATAGGAAGAAAGTCCATACTCTGCTTACCTGTTAACAACGTTCAATTATTATGTCGTGTGCGAGTTTTAAGCGAACCACTTTCTGGAAGAAATACGAGCACTTGGAAACAAATGGATATAGGAAGTAAGAATCTATACAATTTTCATAATGTTAACTAAAGTTGATAAGATGATTCTAGAAAAGAATTATACCATTGATTTTAATTGCAAAAACAATGCAATTTTATTATGCATTTATCCTGAAATATTTGGCTGTAACTTTAATGAAACAAGTGTACGACTTGAAAGAACAAGTGTAGAAGAACAAGAACAGATTAATATATAAGAAACTGATCAAAAATATGATCCTTGTTATGGAAATAATGGAAAAAAAATCATTCATGTTTGATATGAATATCAAAATTTGTAAAAATTAACTTTAAACATTGGCACAAATCTATTTTTGTTTATGCATTTGTGCAAGGATTTACTTACAAAGCATGAAGAAGGAAGCATTTTGCAAATTTCAACTGTCAACCATGCATTTAAATCATATACTAATTATGCCAGTATCAAAACATGCTTGCTACTATTGCTGCATATCAAATAAATTTTAAAAACACTTAAAAAAATAATTGTATAAATTCATAAAATATATATCTATTTATGAAAACCATTCAATTTCAGACTTTAGTCTGCAATAAGTACTTTCTTAATATGTTTTCCTCGCTTCACAGCCAACAGATATCCAATTCATTTCTTAGTAATTATATGATTTACAGTTACAAATATAATACAAGCCGCTGACCATACCAAAACAAAAATAATCCAGGCAGTATGATGAAAGGGAGACATGTGCTTGTTTTTCACTCCTAATCCTAGAGCCGTCAGGGCGTCCTTTCGGGCGTAGTACACCAGAGTGGCCGGAACTATATACTGAATGATGGCACCCGCGTAAGAACCGGTAATTCCCACTAATATTTCTAGATCTTCCGTAGCCAGAGCTATGGCCACCGGAGGTAGTATAGTGACCAATGGAAAGAAAATTCCTTTCAGGAAAAAAGAATACTGTCTGGTATCCTTTAGAAATAATGCTTTTAAATTGTTTCTTAGGGTAATGGCAATGATGGGAAAATTTGTACTTAGTGTAAAAACGGGGAAGAGAGCCAAAAAGTACTGAAGAAACGGAACGGCAATGATTATTCTGTCGTTTCCAGATCCGCACTTCTCAGGCTGAAAGTTCAGCGTGTACATATCTTTGAGATGACTAAAAGTAAATATTCCCGTGAAGCACAGCAATGAGTAAAACCCGAGAATAAGAAAGAAATCAGCCAACACAAATAACGTCAAATTCTTCTTACTTCTAATTGGAGTAATAAGAGATGGTAGAGAATGATGGCACATGAAAGAGTAAACACACACACCAAACAAATTTGGAATTCCATTTAGATTTGCTACTTCTGGATGGCCACGTGATTTACCTTCTACCAAAGCAATAGCTGCTAATATAATCATACTTCCAAAAGCTACAAATAAAAATAATAAAAAATACTCATTAGCATTTTAATCTAACTAATTAATAAATATAGTTAAAATATAAAACAATTAGAGTGTATATGAAAACCATTTACTACTATCCTACTAAAAACAAAATATATAATAAGGTGCATTGGAATTATCAACCTTTGTTTCCTTTTCAGCATATACATCAAGAGTAATTGAATGAGATAGAATAAAAGTTTCTTAAGTATAGATAATTGCTGCAACCTTTCTTTCTTAATGGAAGATTTGCTTCTATCCTTACCACAGGAGGCATAAAGAGCTTATATTGGGTCTGGGGTTGAGTGACCCTTCTTACCTCTTAGCTGATCCCTTTAATGTTTTGTTTTTTGAATAAATGATATGTTAAAATGTATACATATATGTAAAATGTTTCTTTATTAATAAAAAATAGTCTTAAATAATTATTTTATTAGTAAAAATAATTTTAATTTCCTAGGAACCTAAGTTTTCTCCAAATCCCAGTTCCTCCTCTCAATGGACTGCTTGCCACATTTAAAATAGCATGTTAATGTTTTCATTTGTTGACTGGTTATAATTAAAATATTCTATAGCAATAAAGCAGTCTAAAGGAGAAAAACTAAACTTTTATATCAATATATGGACTAATTTACTTAATTTACTTATTTGATTAGATTGCTCTAATCTTTCATATAATTTGCTGAAACGGAACATAAAATTTTAGTATACAAAACTAAAAATTTAATGTTTGAATTTGTCATTTGATAGATAAGAGGAATTAAACAGAATAAATAAAAGTATCTTCAAACAGAATTATATACCTAACAAATATGATAAAAATATAAAATTATAAATTACAGAAAATAAACTTTATATAAATTAAAATAAATATATAATCACTATCGGTAAGTGAATAGAAATATGACATACAAATAAAACCTAATTAGATTTTCTGAACTAATTAGAAAATGCCTTGTAAAAATAAATACTCTGTGTGTTAAGATGCTATGAATTGACAATGTAATTCTGAAATATCTGAAAGACTTTTCATTATAAAAATGGAACAGCTAGGAATAATAATACCTCTTTAATGCTGTTATGCAATTTGTGTAAAATGTTATTCGAAAAACTTGTCATATTGATTACAATGTATGCTTCTTCTAATTCTTCAAAAAGTGCTCGAGCATTAATTAATGGATAAAGGTAAGTCTTTCTGATAAGTAGTCGTATTGCTTCTCATTAGAAGAGCTTAATGTATTAATTGGCAAAGTTAATATAATAAGTTAAAACTTTTAAAATTTGCTATTTAGCAATACTAAAAGTAAGATTTGATCAACTATTTTGTTCTACAACTCTTTCTAACCTGTTACCGGTGCATTCTCCTTCCTTACTAACTCGTAACTAACCGAAACAAACGTTTCGAACCCCAGGAACGGTTCTTCTTCAGGTATTTTTTGAATTTCTGATGGAAAATGCAGCTCGTAAAAAGAATTATAAACTATTTTGTTTTCATATTTTATTGTTTAATCTACATTTTTAAATTTTATATTATTTTTAATCATAAATAAATAAGCTAAAGTTTCCTAGCAGAACTTTGAACATACAACTATCAATTTACAATTATGCTATATTTTTTCAATTAGAATGTTAAAAACAAATATTACAACGTTTGATATCTATTTAGGGTGATTGCTATAGCAAAATATCTACACAAAACCTTTGTTTTTTCTCAAGTTTGTATACAACAACGTTTATTAACATTACATCAATTAATCAAAATATTTAATGTAAGTTAAATGAATAAATAATTTAAATTCAGAATGCACTAATTTATTAATTGTATCATTGACAGCCTAACCACCTGTCTCTTGCCAAATTAATTTTAATAATTAGAAATAAAGTAATCATATCATAAAATTAAAATAATCCAGCAGATAATTTGATTTATAAAAACAAAATAACAAACAAAAACTTTTCAGTTTTTACCCGGGTATAATGTATAACCTTTATATTAATTTATGTTGTGCAAAAATACATAAAAATGAAAGCATTAATAGTTAGAGTTATAAAAATTTTCATTTTTAAATAACAACTTACATTGAATTAATTCTAAATCTGTTATATAAATATTTATGCAACTTATATTTTTAACTTTATAGATAAAAATACAAAAATACTTAATATAATATAAAAAATGTTGAAACTAAAATGATTAATTTTTAAACGTTGCAATGAATGGAGTGTCGCGTCTATTTACTTTGCTCAGATCATAAATTTATAATGGAGTTATCTTATAATATAATAACTTGAATAAATAAAAAAAATTACAATATGTATTAACAAATGACAAACTAAACAAGTAATGAAAGAATATTTACCAAGCCATCTCATAACAGAAGTTATTACTTGAAGATACTTTGTTTTCTGGACATTAAAAAATGCAAACGGCCCCAACAGACATAAAAATACAGCCTATGAAAATTCATAAAAAATTGTATTTATTACGTTAATCCAAAGAAAAATAAACAAATATATATATATATATATATATTTATATAATATATAATTTATAAATTTAGGGTGGCCACTGTAGATAATTTAATAAAGCAAGTAATATGCTTTTACCAATAGATAATGTAGAAACACAACCAGTGTATAGATGTGAAATTTATGTAAAAAAAACAGTGCAGCATGGAATAAGAATGATGAGATTGAGTTGATAATCAAGGAAATGTGGACTATGATGCCAGCAGACAGTGTAAAAGACTAAAGGAAATATTGCCGAGGGGAGAAAGAATTCTTGATTTTTGCTGTTTAAAGACATATTGGTAATGGAATTGTTAAATATCTTGCACTTAAATTAATAATGATACTTTAATATCATAGATATATCCATATGCTGTCATCTTATTACAATTTTGATACTAACCAGTTATAAATAAATTATCTAGAAAAAAAGTCATTTGTAACATCATTATATAAAACTAAAACTAAAATTAAAATACAGTGGTACCTCAGGATATGAACGCCCCAGCCTACGAAATTTTCAGGATACGACATGAAATTCGAACATATTTTTGCTCCACGATATGAATAAAAACTCACCGTAGGACGTAACATTAGTTTGCAGTGCCATTTTTTATTCACTTCTGTTCATCGGTCTCAGTCTGCGTGTTTGCTTCATCGTGAAAGGATCTCACTCGATAAAAGAAATCTTGAAGTATTATCAGAAAATGACTGACTTTATTGATAAGAAACAGCCCAAAAAGGTTCACACTGGCCGTATTGCTACTCCAGTGTGAACCTTTTTGCCTAAGTAATGCTGACATTTGCCTAAGTAATTTTAGAAAAATTTTAAAAAGTAGGCAAAGCCAAACTCTTTGGATAGATATTTTACGAAGCGACCTCTATCTACTGAAAGTGCTGGTGGAAGTGAAGGAAAGAAAGCAAAAAGAAGTGAATAAAAATTAAAAAGAAAAAAAAAATATATATATATATATTCTGAAACAGCAGAAATCGCTTGAGAATTGCAACATTTCACAAGAAACCCGAGCGAGTCTTTTAACAAGGTAGAAAGTACTTTCATTTTTTTCATCTTTTCTAACCATTTTCTTAGATAGAGAGTCACACAGTTAGTCTTGGTGTTAGTAGAAAAATTTAAAAGCTTTTTATTCCTGTTATTCTCTCAGTAAATAGACTTGGTACTAGAGAATCTTTTCCATCTACTTGCTTGCATCATTTATCGGAGTCNTTATATAAGTTAAGTTTTAGTATCATTTCCCTTCTTCCTCTCTTATGCCACCAGTTTATACCTCCACTGTCATCTATCCTCAATGATAAAGTGCAAATAAAACTACGCTTTTTTTTTATCAATTATTATTCTATTATGGTTACTTATATATTTACAACTACAAAATGCATTTTTCTGTGTTTTCCTTACTATAGTTACTTTTTTTTAATGTACTACTTAGCTTTAATTTGTGTGTGTTTTTTGTGTTGGAACGAATTATTTGGTTTTACATGAAAACGTATGGGGAAAAACGATTCACCTTATGACATTTTCATGATACGATCTCAGTTTCAAAACGGATTAATTTCATATCCTGAGGTACAGTACCACTGTATGCCCTTAATATGCTTATCAAAAATCTTGTCAAAAGAGAATGTATAAGCTAAAGAGAAATGCAAGAATAATTTCAGTAGTAATAAAGCAGCAGTTATATCAATAACTACGTATTATCCATAGTTATTTATTTTAATTACTCTGTGCCTCTTATCACATGATCAACAGATATATACAAAACATAGTATAGTTTAAAAACTACATCATTTACATTTATATTTGTATTCTTATGATATAAATAATTCATCTCTAGGAAACATCTACCATAACTAATTATTAGTATAAAAGTGTTTAAATATGGGAAATAAATACATTTCTACTTTCTGTAAAACAAATTTGGGAAGAGATAGAATAATATCACCAGTTTTAAAAAGTAGTAAAATCATTAATTTTAATCTTAGATATATATTTTTAAACATAATCATCAAGAGTGACATATTCTTCCAAACATTCATTTCATTTTTGTACTTCATGCTTAAAAAGTTTTCTCCTGGATCCATTCTTATTTTTTAAATTGGAAAGAAAGTTATTTACACAAAGTATTTGGCAAAGAAGAGAAACAATGAAACAGACTGCAAAGAAATAGATGAAAAGAAAACCGGAAAGATTTTTCAAACATGGAATGAAAAAAATATATAGATTAAATATTTGTTTCTTCAAACAAATTATAATGTTTCTAAGGAACTCTGCCCTCTCTGCTTGCTTCACTTGCTCATGCACAGGCTTCATCCACTTATTAAAAATTTTGCAATGATTCATTGATTCCCTATACTGCTGTTTTTATTATTTATTATAATGTACAGTCGACCCACCTATAACACTGTTGATTTTTCCATTTTATATGAATTCCATGTTGTACGAGTCACTTAGATTTTACAAATACATGTGCTGGGCTGTGAACGGCTCACGTATTTGTAAAATCTAAGCGACTCGTACAACATGGAATGCATATAAAATGGAAAAATCAACAGTGTTATAGGGGGGGTCAACTGTATTGTGATGATTTTAAGCTAAGTATTTTATATACGAAATGCATTAATTTTATAAATTTAATTATAGTAAGTAATTAAATATGTAAATAGAAAAAAAAAATCATTTTTATTGCTATTGCAAAGTTGTTAAAATTTTGAGTACTTATAGACCCTTAGCTGCTTGCAAACTGAAAGCACTCAGTCTGTATATTCCATGTTATTGGTATTCACTAATTGGTTTGAGATTCAGCATACTGGCAATTCTATGAAGACAAAACACTTACATCTGTGTGTTGTTGCATTAGTTTGTTTATTCACAAACACAAAAGATGCTTTTGTGTTTGTGAATAAACACAAACTTGCTTGTGAATATCACAGCTTTTAAAGGGTTGACCATAAGTCTGTATAGATTATACGTTGGTTTCTTAACTACAAAACATTCATAATAATTAGTATCTCTGTATATGTAAGAAATATCCAAAAATTAAAATACTCACAAGATATATTCGATAGGCATCTTTGCGAGATATATAGTCGACAGATGTCCAGCAAAGATCCCAATCAGTATATGATATGTTACAGGCATTACCGGGTGGCACATAATTACTGTAAAATTACACATTGATATATTTATGCAATTGGTACTAGAAATAAAATTAAATATTGAAAATAAAAATTTTCTTGATAGTATATTAGATAGATTAAAACAAAAACCAACTGAAGAAAATTATATGTAATAATATGTAAAATAAGAAAAATGTATAATTTTTGATGATTGAAGTTTTAAATATGTATTTATTACAAGAAATAACCAGATAATACCAAATTTTATTTCATATTCTACAGAATTTCTAATATATTTACATTGATGTAATTAAAACTGAAAGTATAAATTACCATGTAACATCTCTGAGAGAGACAGATACTGCCGCAGCATAAATAGCCAAATCTCCATATAAATACACAGCTATACATAAATAAAATATATTCACTCCAACTGAAAATAGTAACAAAAAATATAATTGTTTGTAAACTTACATTTTTAAAATATTCAATTGAACAATTAAACATAACATTTTTTATTTTTAAAGTGTAATTATTATTTAATAGCTGTAATAGTTATATTAATAATTACATTATTAGAATTCTAATTGCCCGATAAATATTTTTTCACTTTTTTAAATGTATATTTATTTTTTTATTAATATATTTAAGTATAATGTCTTATTACAATAATTTCATAAATAAAAGCTATAAAACTTTCACACTATCCAGAGTTTCAGACTGATCTTCATTTCAGCAGTATAATACTCTAGACTTACTAAATAAGCAATACAGATGTTAATTTCCTCTATGCTATCTGGAGACCCCCAATTACCAGTTCAATTTGCAATTGTCACATCATATCACAACAATCCCTATAAAAGCAATTAACTATCCTAATGAGATTAATCTTCTCTCCTTCTTCATATCATACAATCATTGAGAAGACTTTCCACAAAGTGTTGAAGTAATTTTTAAACAAATTTCTTCTACTTATAATAACATCACTAAGATAGTTGTACTTCTTGGGCTGCAATTTGAAAACATTATAACTCTATAATTTCTACCATCATTCCTTAATCTTGAGAACAATGTTAGATAGATAAAAGTTGAGGCCAGATAGGGAAAGCTTAGGGGCAGGAGGTCACCGTTAACTATATACAAACTTCCGGTTTAGATCAGAAGTCACGTGAATTCAATTCACGTGACTTCTGGTCTAAACCCCTGAATAGAGTTACATAGATGACCAGCATGATTCCTGTTATCAGGAAAAGTATGATATACGGGGCAAGACACTACTGATTTGAGATGAAAAACATATATTTTAAATTAAATAAATTAAGAATATAGAAACATCACCAAACAATTGTCTAAATAATCAGGCTGTAACTCTGCTAATCTAATAATTAATACTAAGTAATTTGCTACTAAGGGTAGATGGTAGGCACCATCTCTTAACTAAAAATATGATAAAAAATTACAGTCTGGCATTGCAACAATGTCACAATAAATAATTACTCATTTTGTATATATTAATATTGATCTGAACTATATTTTGAAGTAATTTTTTCAGGATGATAATATATAATTTAGTTTTAAACTTTTTACAAAATGTAAAGCCTATTTAGCTTGATCTGGCACAATTTAGTAAAGTGACAAACTAGAAGAAATTTACTATAAAATATCTGTAACACTTGGTGTACAAATATAATCTCTTTATATCCTTCTATCCCACCATGTGACACAGTAATGCTAACCATAAAAATTTATTTTTAAACTGTTAGATCTATTAATAAAATTCAATACTGATTTAGTAGAATTTTTAACAAATTTTGCTATCAAATCAACAAAATTAATTAAAGTGATTCTAATAAATTAATAATATTGATTAATTATTATTATTTTGAAGTTAAATAACTTACATTTATTGAAAAATAAGGAAGCCATCTTTCCCTAAAAAAAAAAAAATCATCATTAATCATAAAATAATGAATTTTAATTGTTTTTAAAATTTTGTCATACACAATGATTTAATGGACGAGACTATGTCTCAGAGAGTGCAACCAATGCATGCGCAAATCTTGCACCCGTGCCTCTTTGTAGAAACAATCTCAGCATTTCGTATTTTCTTTTGATCTAGTTCTTGATTCCCTGACTACCTTCAAGTGTGGTTTATGTGCGCATGATTTGGGCACCAAACACTCTATGCTAAATTGCAACTCCTGACATATACTCCTTCATACCTCTAAGGTAAACAGCTGTTGACATCAGCACAATTTTAGAGACGAGACATAATCTCGCCAATAAACAACAACATTGTTATACAAACAAAAATTGTTTCAACACAATAAAACAATCTTGAATAATGACTACATTCTTATACATAAAATACACATATAGGATATTGAGCAAATTATAACAACACATTTGCTAATTTGTTTTGCTGAATTTTTAAAAAATATTAAATTGTATTTGAAAGCTGTAATTTAGATAAAACAGATTAAACTTTATAGTTACAATGTATAAATTAAAAATTGTACAGTCATACTTTTCAATTAGAAAATTACTCATGTAAACAATTTTATTAAATATCATTTCATAAAAGAATAACAGATGCAAAAATGTAATGGATAATTATTATATTAAAACTATCTTAACTATTTGGCTGTTCTTAAGTGGCCATTCTGGGGCCATGGAACTGAATCCAAGCAAAACAATCCCAAGAATTTTTCATAAATGAAGTTAAGTTGAGCCTTGTTTCTCACCATCAAGCTGCCCCCAATTGTGGACTGACCGAATCCACAGTGGTTATGCTAAAGACCATCTTATACCCCATATGTGGAAAAATCCAAAAATAAATAAATAATTATGTAATAAGAGTAACAAATGTATATTATTCTTGCTTAATAATCATTTTGAATAACAGTTGTTCCACATTATCAACACAAAAATGTCATTTAATAGTTTATAGGTATATTCATTTCATTAATAATCTATCTTTGTTTACTTCAGTAATTCTTACTTATGTTAATATTGTTTTTTAAATTTTAAAGAACAATAAAAATGTTCACTCCATAATGAAAAGTTCCAAATTTGACAAAAAAAAACTTCTCACAACAGAACATTTCATCATGGAGTGAACAGTTTTATTGTTCTTTGAAACTTTTTTAAGAAATTAAAATGCGATGAGGTGTTTTTTTATAATTTTTAAGAAAATTGTAAATATAAATAATTATATTATTATTATTGATAAAGACAACACTAGGCCATGCTGGCAAATATTGTGAGTTTTTGATAGCTAAATTAAAAATAAATGGGCTGATTTACTCTGCGAGACTATTTCCTAAGCAGAGTGCAATGATCAGTACTGTAAAAAAATAAATTCCTAATTGGAAATAGACAGTTTATAAGTTAAAAATTAATTTTAACTTTTAATGTTAACCCTACTTTTGTTGTAATCTAATTCTATAGCTCTCAACTTTAGAATATGTTTCAGAAAATATTTACAACTAAAAATTATACAAAAATTATTTGTGAAATTATCTTGCTGTTTCTTTATGACAGATTAACTGTACATATTTATTACAAAAATTAATGTTAAATACTGCAGATCATCACAAAAATAAGTTTATTATCTATTTTGATGTTTTACAAACATTATAACAATTAATTTTATAACGTTTATAAGTTTCTAATTTGAGTACATTAAAATGAATTTAAAAACTATATACCATATATTTATTTTATTACTTTTTTAATATGAAAACTAATCACAAAATAGTGTCATATTGAAAAATGTAATGTCATTTTTTCCTGTATTTATTGAAGATATATGAACTGATCAATATAACAAAATTTCCTGTCAATAGTAATATATTTTTACTGAATACAAATCATAACAGTATATCTAAAAATATAATCTGTGGATTTTTAGAAAAAATTTCAAAATGAAAAGTTCTCACCTTTGTGATTCCATTGTTGAAGAATTACACAAGCCAAACAAAGCAATATTTTCGTATTTCACAAATTACAGAAAATGCACAACATTTCATGATGAGAAAAATTAAATTTATGACAGATTCCGACAGAATTATTAAAAGATCTAACAAATGAAGGAATTTAGAGAATTTTCTGATTCTTGTAAAAAGAAATGATGGAATAATTCTGTTTGAAAATACCTTCAATATGAAAATAGAAACAAATATTCTTGCAAATGATTTCACATTTACATATATGAATTTCAAATCATTATATAAAAATACATAATGATACAAAGTTATTGCTAGAAATAAAATATGAAAAAATTTTAAATGGAAATTAATATATAATACTACATCGAGGTAATAATAAAAATATTTACTTAAAGTCTTCATAATGAAAGTTTAAAACACAAATGAAGTTTAATGAAAAAGTACAGATCTGCAAATAAAATAATATGGATAGATGCGATATTCAAAGAGATGAGATAGGAACTAAACAGTAGCTTATACAATACTTACTAATTCAATTCTTTCTGTTATACTATAATATTCTACAGCAGCAGTATCTGTGATGGAATCCATTGAATCTGAAATAATAAAATTCATCTTCAATATAAACAGAGTAATAGACAGACATATACATTAGGCAATATTAGATAAGTAAAAAGTTTAATATATCTGAAACTATAAATTTAAGAAGTGGGTTTTCTTTACTTTTTTTTTATCAAAGATATGTTTTATCTGATAAATTTATTAGGTAAACAATAATTAAATCATACCATATTAATCAAATTGTTGCATCTGAAATGGAAGCTATTTTGATAAAACTTTACACTACAAAAACTTATTTGAAGGTTAAGACTATTTACAAAAATTAAACATTTTCAAGTCTTTTTCTTATCCTTTTACACAACCATAAAAGTAACAGTTATTTATAAAGGCTAAGGATGTGTTAGTATGGTGAGAAAATGTAACCTTGGTTTTTGATGTAAGAAACATTGGATCCTCTAATAAAAGGTGACGTTATTATATCGTATACACTTTACCATATTCAATAATTTTGTGGATGTGGTACAAGTAATTTTATTTTATTATTATAAAGTCTGAATTCTTGGAAGGAGTAAATTCTTAAAGGCATTTTGAACTTATTTCATTGCTGAATGTTTGTTAAAAAGCAATCTAGTTGCCTAAATAAATGGTAATGAGTGGTGCCACTTTCAGTGAATATGAGAAAATTTCACTCTAATCGATGAAGTTTTTGAATCATTATCTATGAGATATGACAAATTTATTGAGATATGTGGACAAGTATTATTATGCAGCATTAGGATTCCTATTCACTAATGCAGTTTGCTTCTAGTTTAACTTTTTTCACATTTGTTGGGATTCTGCACAATATTTCTGAATGTTGATGGTTTCATCTGATTTTAAAAGATAATAAATAACACTAAACTGTCACCATAATCTTTCTTGGATGAAGACTTGATTCTGAGATAGGTTTTGATCTTCATCAATATGCAGCTATTAAGCAGATTGTCAATGAATGACATAAATTTTCAATTTTTCAAACTGATACAAAATTTAAAAAATTAAATATATGAATAAAATTGATTATTATCAAAATTTATTTATGTTATAAAAATACCGTATTTTCAATTCAATATTTTCTGCAAATAAATATAAATATTCAAACTATGTTTTGGGAAAACTTACTATGTATAAACATAGAATATAAAACAGGCAAATGTTATTCCACTCAGAATATTTCTCTAGACTGAAGTATAAGTACACTGCACAAAAACACCTTAAAGAACAATAAATAACTCCAGTAAATAATCATGAATAGAAAAACTAACATTTTTGATTCTTTCTATGGATCTTCTTCCAATCAAACGTTGGGAATTGGAATGCATTTCAAATATTTTATTTTGAATATCATTGCATTATCAAATATATATTCAAAAATGCAATAATATTTGAAAAATTTAAAGCCTGCTACTCACATGTGGAAACTGATGATGGAATTCGTCAATGGAAACTGTAAGCTAAAACTTGCCGCTCCATCTTCTTTCCACGTTGTGTGTACTCATGTGCAGAAATTACCATACAACTGAAAAGTGCACCATCTGACAGCCATAAATATAAACAAGTTACTTCAGTATGTAGGCCATGTGCCAGTAGTAGAAAATGGCACCGATGGAAATATTTTGTTATATCAATTAAACTTTCTAAGTTTGCCTACAATCTTATCACAAATAAAAAAAAGCACAAAAACAAAGAATTTGGATGGGAAAAATATTCAAAATCGTTGAAAGTTAGGAATATCGAATAATTTCATACCAGAATTACGATTATGCCATTCTGAATACTTTACACAGTAAGGAGGTCTATTTGACATTAATATTTAAATTGGATAGTAATATAGTATGTAAATGAAATATATTAGTATATTACTGTATAAATAAAGCATTTTAGCCTTGCCAACCACCATAGTTTGAATGCTATCATCCCATGTAATGTTTACGATGACATTGCTAAATGGCTTTCCTATTGATCTAATTTTTACCATTCTGCTTTTCGCAATGGCAAAAGTTAAAAGTTTTCAACTTTGTATTCTGTCAGTTTTGATGGCAAAAGTGACATCATTCTGCCGTTCTGTCGATAGTTTCCATCATCCATTTCCATATGCAAGTACCAGGCTTAATATTTGAAAAGCATTACAATTTAAAACTTGTGACCAGAAGATAATCTGTGGAAAGGATTGAAAATGTTAGTCATTCCATCCATGATTATTTACTGGAATCATTTATAGTTTTTTAAAGGTGTTTTTGTGCTAGTAACAAATGTTATTTTTTAATTGTATTTTATTATATTTTTGGGATACTATCTAGTTTTTTCAAATTAAATATTATGCGTTTTGTATAATTTATATTATTTAACATATGAAAAGCATTGTTGTCCAAAGGCATATGCTCATATATATAAATAAATATAATAAAATTTTATCATTTTATTGCATTTTGAATGAAAATGATTTGAATGAAGAATAATTTGTTCATTACAAATCTTTTGTATTCCATAATAGAGTTAATTTTTTCTCTTATTTATTGTTTTTATTAAAAATAATGGATCAGAACAATGATGTTCAAAATAATTGCCATCTTCACTAGCACACCAAACCATAAAATTTCATAAATTGACTTTTATAGAATTTATGAAATTTATGAGATTCTGTAACAATCATGCATACAAATGGAATTCTTAGTTTATGGGTATTATAAACATAACATTGTACAAATTCTGGATAATAGTGGGATAGCTTATAGAAAGCATTTACTTGGAATATTTCATTGGTTATAAATTAAAAATACAGTGAAACCTCTATATTCATCATTAATCTGTTCCTAAGGGCCTAACGAATATGGAATATGGTGAATATAGAAACAATTTTTCTCATAATAAATAACTGATATTCAATTAATCCATTCCCATCCTGAAAAAAAGGTACAAGAATAAAAATTATGTTGTTTGTAAAACTTTATCTTTATTGTACTAAATAAATACAGTGTAGTGGTAGAAGGGAAAGAACAGTATTATTAATATAGTATATTAATAATATAGTATTATTGTTTAGAAGAAGACATATCAATTAAAACATTAGGCAATTCCAATTATGATCGTGGGGTCTGTTTTGCCAATGATTCAGTAGCACTCGATTTAATAAAGAACTTGTCCAGCGTTGTGTGTTTTTGTCTGCTTTTTAAAACTTTTCGGAAGTAGGCAAATTACATTATCATTGAATGTATTTGTATTTTGGTTGACTATAGCAACATTTGGGTGCCACTTTGAACAGATTGGAACTTGGTTTCTTGCATTGATTACTTTTAATAACTCAACAGCAAATACAATGACCGCACAAACCAGACTGATTAACTACAGCTAGCTGATCAGTGCAGGCATGCAATTATAGTGCCACTTCCAGTATTGGGAATGATGACAAATACAGAAAATACTGACAAATATGGAAAAATAAAAAAAGTCATCAAAATGTGACGAATATCAAATATTACAAATATAGAGATTGACGAATATAGAGGTTCCACTCTATTATTATGGTTATTTGTATAAGTTGTTATTTATTTATTTTACATTTAATTAATTCAATGGTTATTTTTAACAATGTGAATTAAGAATTTTTCAACTTTTGAAACATTTTAAATTTGATTTCACTTTATTAACATGTTCTAATGAAAACAGTTAAGTAATTCCGTGTATGGAATAAGGAAATGAAGCACAATGAAAAAAACCTTCCAAAATTTGAATCTTTGTAGCTGAATGAAGGTCTTTGAATAAGGTTGAAAATGTTCATGACTACAAAATAAGTTATCATTTGTTTCTCATTTTTAAAATAAATGCATTTATTTAACAATGTATAATTCAAATGCATATTTTAATAAATATATTCTTGCACACATTACTTTTTAACTGACAAACATAATAAATTGCATATACACTTGAATACTCTAATGCAACTGGACTATTTTATCCTTGTTTGATTCCTGAAAATTTAAGTTAATTTTTAGATGTAAATATGATGATTAGTGTGAAGACGTTTTAAATTGTTCTCTTGAAAGTCTAACAAGGAATTAAAAAAGATAAACTAGAAATCATTTTTGGATTAGAAGATGTAATTATAATCAAATTTTTTTCTGAAAGTTTAACTCAAGTGAAAACTTCTAGTGAGGAAAGGATATAATAGTTTGGTTGTATTAGAATGTTTAAACATTATTTCAAAGAAGATATTTCAAAAAACAAGAAAGGCCTACTTACTACTTAATAGAAGAGGCACTTTTTCATCATGTTCTATAGAATTTGATATGACTTCATCTCTCATCAATCCTTTCTAATAAAAAATAAAAAAAATAAACTAAAATAATTAAACAAGTAAGAATTTTTGACTTTTAACTCAAGTAAAAGAATATCATAAATTAAAGTAAAAAACAACAGAAAATATAAAAGTATTGTTGCCTTTTAATTATTCAGTAATTAATGTTTTTTTATTATAAATGAATACATTTATAATAAAAAAAAAACATTAATTGGGCTGCAAATTTAAAAAATTGTAGACTTGCAAATTCCCACTGGCATCCATTTGTCCTTCCTTAATCTCAAGAATGGAGTTAGAGATGAAAATCAAGACCAGAAATGGAAAGTTTAAGGAGAGGATGCCCCAATTAACTACATACAAATTTTCAGTTTGAACCAGAAGTCACATTATTTCAATTCAAAAATTTTCCCCTGAATGGAGTTATAGATGACTGGCATGACTCTGTTGTTATCAGGAAAAAAATGATGTAAAGGGGCAAGCCCTGTACATCATTCTTTTCCTGACACTACTAAAATTGAGAGCATTGTGACAATGTCACAGTAAATAATTGCTCATTAAAGGTTTAAATTTTATGCAGATTTTTATTATTATAAATATTTATGATCATACATACTTGATATAACTACAAGGGTGAGTCAAAAATTATCTGCAATGTTGACATAACTCTTCTTACATTGTTCATATTGACCTCTATCCTCGTTTATTTTATTGTTATGATGTTGTGGTCCTGCTATGGAATTTCGATCCTTATTCCTCTAGTTGTCTTCCTTTTATTGCAGATAGATCATGGGCACTCCATTAGAAGTTTGCACCAAAGGCCCAGTACTGGAACATTATCAGGAGAGAGGCACAACAATAAACAGTATGCATTACAGTGAGATGCTTACTGACAAGCTAAAGCCTGCAATTTGAAGCAAATGCCAAGGACTACTGTTGAAAGGTGTTGTGTTGTTGCACGACAATGCCCATCCACATACTGTTGCCCACACTGCTGAAATGCTCCAGAAACTCATGTTTGAAGTAATGGCTTATCCTCCATATAGTCTTAATCTTGCCCCTTCAGACTACCACTTGTTTGGTGCACTCAAAGAGGCATTAAGAGGCCGTCAATTCACCTCAGATCAAAAAGTGAAGGAGACGGTGCATGCGTGGCTTGCTGCTCAGCCGAAAACGTTCTTTTCTGAGGGCAATGAAGTTTGTAGAACAATGGACCAAGTGCTTTGAAAAGCAAGGGAACTATATTGAAAAATGATGTTAAGTTCAGTTTCCTATTTATATTGCAATAAAAGTTATAGCTACATTGTGGATAAGTTTTGACTCGCCCTTGTATAAAGAATATATGACACGTAAATTAAGATAACACCTGTTGTGTTATGTTAATTTATTTATCGGTGAAGCTGAAAACATTTATTCCCAAAATTTAAGCATTATCGGAAATAAAAATTTGTTGAGCGGGAGTGTTTATTAACACCAGTAATCAGATTGATTAGAAGAATTGACAGCAGGTGTGTTTATAAAAACCTGTGAATATATTGAAATATATGAATTAAACATATAAAATATTATTTTATATGTTTGATTCTTGTATGACAATATATTTTTATTTAATTTATTTTATACTTGTAAGATAGAAACTAATTTTCATTGACATAAAAATCAGATTTTTACACTGATGAACCATATCTTAAATAAGAGGCATTCAGTCTTTTTCTCTTTGCAATCTTCAAAATTAAAAGTTAATCATATGCAACTCTTCAAATTTATATTCTTTAATGAATTTGAAAGGTCCTTGAAATTTACTTTCTAATCTTTATAATATTATTTCGGGTTGTGCATCTATGCTCAAAAAACTTTAAGCATGAAAAATTAAGACAAAGGAAACATTTCTGTTGAACTTCACTTAATCATAAGCTGTGGATAACAGTCCATTATAAATTTTAGATTGCTTCATGAAACTAGAATTTTTAGTTCAAACATCTATAGTTGTTTATGCTTCTAACACAATAAAGTGTTATAAATTAAGACACTTGGCGGGTTGTCTCATCTTTATTTAGTTGATACGTGTGAAAAAATTAGTTTATATTTATAGGTATGTTTATATTTTTATGAAGTTTACAAAACTTGTGTATTTTTTTTTTTTTTTTTATATGTATGTTATATCCTCTTTTAATGTTTTAGTTGGCTGAAGAGGGGCTTAAAAGCCCGAAACGTGTAAAATTTTTTCACACGTATCAACTAAATAAAGATGAGACAACCCACCAAGTGTCTTAATTTATAGCACTTTATTGTGTTAGAAGCATAAACGAATTGCAAAGCACGGTTTCATATCATCAAAATCTATAGTTGTTTTTATTTTCTAATCTGTGATGATAGTCAAATGGTAAGTTATGAAACCGTGAGCTTCTTCAATATATAGATATATAACTGTATTCCAGATATCCCCATATAACACAATAGTTAGGTTTAAAAAAAATGTCGTGTTATGTGAATAAAAAATGTTGAATGATAGTGAACACCTATAAAAATGTTGTAATCTTTTTAATGGGAATGTCTCCAATTTTCAAATGTATTAGAGAAAAACCACGTTGTAGGAGGGATATTTGTATATACGTAAACATATACACATATTTATAATAACACTTATTTTGAAAATATAAAAGAAATTTTCATTTTTTCAATTTCATGAAGATCTGCTTCCTGGACGACCAGATGGCTCTATTAAGGCACTGATCCTGACTTTTTTAAGTAGAGGTTCGCTGCCTGGTGGGAGGCGTATTCGGAAAAATGCCATCGGTAAAAGTCCGTTCTTCCGTCAGAAACCGTAGTTTGGCTCTAGTTCTAACCAGGCCTATCAGCTTCTTACGATATAAATTAGCTGGCATAAATAAATCTTTAAATAGAGAAACTTTTCTAATCTCAGTACTGGGGTGAAATCTACACTACACTATTCGGAACCTGTAACCGGTGCATGACGCGTATATATTGTATACCACTGTTGACAAATGTTTTTGAACAATCTCTTTGCTCTTCTTCAGGTTAACTGGAATTCCCTGGACAGAGTGTACTTTATTTGTTGGGATCAGGTGTCATTTCGACAAAGTGGGTCCTTTCTAACATGCGCGGTCGTGCAATGGAGGGGGAAGTTGCAGGTTGGAATCCAACAGTGATTGCCAGGCCAGAGATAGAGTCAGCTCCTCCTTCCGGTTAATGCACGTGGTTACCCGGTCAGTTGTCCCTGATTGGGATAGAATAGACTCCAGGGAGTCTGGTACAATTGGGAGGATCTTTATCATTCCATAGGATATGGAAAATTGTGGGACATCTTCTGTATGCTAACCATATCCCGTATTCTCTGGCTATCTTCTTATGTACTGTATTAGGTATGGGTTGAATGTGACGGGGACTCGTGTCAAACCGTCTTGCTGGGAGTCGGCAACATTATTTGCGATCAGGGTGTATTTCAGGTGTTAGTATCGTTCTACTAAGTGGCAAGTCATATTCAGGAACCCATGATTGGTTGCTATCCTCCTGATGCAGGCTAATTCGGTTGCCAGGGCCAGCTTGGTGGACAAGTGCAAGAACGTCCTTTCCACTATAGCTCTAAAGGTGGCCACCTTGTTTGGGAATGGGTTGTAAGAATTGGCTGGTATGTACGTGGGGGTGGCTGAGGGTTTGTGGTAAATGGATGTGTGGATCCAGCATCCATACATCTGTCCTACTATTTTTATTTCTATGTCAAGAAAACAGACCTCCTCTGTGCTAGCCTGCTCCAGTTCAACTGTCAGACTGAAAGGGTTGTTGTTGATGGTTTTGACGAAGGATGTCATGTCAGGGACCTCCCTCAATATGATGAGAATGTCATCCACGTATCTTTTACAGATCAGGATTTTAGGAAGGAAAGACGAGAGGGCATTACTGTCGAGTCGCCTGATGACCATTTCATAATAGAGCCATCCAGTTGTTCAAAAAGCAGATCTTCGTAAAATTAAAAGAGTTAATAGAGACCGAAGATCCCTTATTCCACACACACCTGGAGAAATTTTCATATTAAATATTTAAATAAATTCATTCTTCCATTTTTTATTTCAAAATCCAACAGTAAAGATGCCACTTATATTACAGAATTAAAAATTTGTTAAATTAATCTATTTTTAAAGCATTAGTTGAATACTTAAATAAATTAAGATAAGGTTAACGTTTGTATTGCATGCAATTTAAAAAGTCACAAACTTTTTGAAAAAATTTGAAGTAATACGTTTTTACAGTGCTTACAGGAGAGCACCGAAAACAAAGGTGCTCACCACTAAGTCTTGCCTGCTGGTATTGATTGCATGCATTTGTTCTTCTTCCTCATTAATCACCTTTTTTATGTGCTGAACTGTACGCCAGTGCACCATAGCATTGGCCACTGCCATTGCCTCTACTACAAAAGTAACTGTAAGAAAACTGAAAAAAAAAAAAAAAATTTAAAATAAATATGTTTACTTTATTTTTAATAGTGAAAACACACAAACAGTATAAAAACTCACCTCATAAAAGCAATTGCAATTAAAATCACTAAACTTAACATCCATCCCGCATGACTAAATGCTGCTGGCATGGTTAACGCACCAGTTCCGACAATTAAATTGAAGATGTAAACCAGCCCTACCTGTTAAATAATCAAAATGAGATAAAATAAATAAAACATATAAAACAGTTAAACTTGTAATAAATCAAATTCTTGTTGAATTCTAAATATTTTAATAAAAATTAATTTTTATTAAATCTGCTGATTCTGAGATTACGCTAGAGTATTTAGTTTAAATTATTTTTGCCACAGTACAAATGTGTTTAATGCATCACATATCATAATATATTATTTAAGATTAATCATCTACAATGTCCTGTAAATCACGCCTTAATGCAAATATTGTTTATATTCTCGTAAGCAATGTTTGTTTCCTTCATATTTATCATTATGTGCACTATGTTTCTTATCATATCTTATATAAAGTTGATTTTATAATCAACAATCCATCATCTTTGGATATAATAAAGAATTGACATTATTAAACCCCCACTTCCTGTATTAGTCCACATCAAAGATTAATAATATTTTAAAGTTTGTTATATAAAATTCTGAAAATTTAACATTTTTGGAATTAATATGAATTTTAAAAAATATTTTTACTTAAATTTTTGAAAAGTAATATAAAAATATCTTAAACGATGCATATTAAAGATATTTTTATATTATATAATGCTATGAATTCTAGTATTTTTCCTATAAAAATATAACTCAGTACACACTCTAATTGTCTGATAAAATATAAAACATAATTAATACTTATTTATTTATAAACTTCTAAGTAATTTAAAATTTGAAACTGAGTGAAACATTGAAAATAACTTTTTTAAGTTCAAGTACAATGTTCAAAGTCCTGATATCAAATTAATTTAAGGTTTTTTTCTTGTTTACATTAAATTTCTTATAAGAAAAATTTTCCAAACGTAGTTAACTAATTTAAGAACTATAATGAGATTAGAGTATCAAATATCATATTTAATGTATTAAGAAATGTTGGAATTAATTTTCATTAAACCATTACTATTTAGGCAGAAAAATTATTAATATACAACAAATTATTTTTCCATCAATAAACTTTTTCAATATATATTTTAAATTTATTTTTTACTTATATTTAGAAAAAATACATATATGTCAATAAAAATAATGCAAATGATTGAGGATTGATAACTAAAAATAAAATTTTTGCTACTCAACAGGTTAATATGTAACTTTTGTGGTTACGTATTAGGCTAAACTCTGAAATTTCTGCAAAAAATCATGTTAAAATAGTTAACAAAGAGAGATTTTCACTCTTTCAGTCTATAATGACTGTTCATATCATTCTTAATCTCAATTGTCATGTCTAATCTCATCAAGTTTCATCTATCAGCTTTCACTTTTTCTTTAAAAGGTTTACTGTAAATAAAATTACACTTAAAATAATTCTAAACAGAAACTACACTTATCAGTAAATCAAAACATATTTAAAGATTTAGTCGTTAAGTAAGCTTTCCTATAGTGAAGTAACAATTAACAGATAAAGAATAAGTTTGCTTTAATTTATAAAAGTCCAGATATATTTGTTTGCTTGATAAGAATGAGCCATTAAGAGAATTTAAGTATTCATCTATGAGAGTAAATTACAGAGATAAAGTCTTTATCTAAAAATATTCACAATTACATTTTTAAAAGTTTATATAATTTAAAAATTTCTAATTTATACAGAAATATGACATTTTCTCATACTTATGGATTTAATGCTTCTTAGCAACATACTTGTATTATTTTTGAATGAGAAAGACAGAATAAATTAATTTTTTCAGATAAAAAGAGATTATTGACAATTTTTATTGCAAAATACCTTGTGTCCAAATAACACAGTTCATTCACACGATTATTAAAACCATTTTGCGTTATCTAATTTTTTTAAATTGAGTAATTTCAAATGATTAACTGGAAAATTACATTGCATAGATTTATATTAACAGTTATTCTGCATTGCAACTGTTATCAACATTTATCTTTGTATCAACATATCTAAACAAATATGTAATATTTACATAAGTATGTTAAACAACCCCAAGAACCGATATGCATATAGATACATAGCGAAATGAATGCCTTAAATACTCAAATAATAAATTATAATTATCAATTTGGATACAAAATGGTGCCTAATGTCTACCTCTAGTAGCAAATTACTTAGTATTATTGAAATTAGTGGATTTATAGTCTGAGTATTTAAGGCAATTGTTTGACTACATAACATAATATTTACAGATTAAGATTTTTTTTTAAATTTATTCAATTACAAATTGTTTTTATAACTTCATTATAATTTACATCTCTTATAAACTGATTTAATATAAAAATGACTGCAGTTTTAAAGCATACTATGAGATTTAAAAAATTATCAAAAATAAGATAATGCTAATCTTTTGAGATTTCTGTAGAGATAATCAGTGATTTTTAACTTAGATGCTGCTGATAATGTATATGAGCCTAATGAAAACCTTTTACAACATTTAGACAACATCACTCATACACTTATACACTGACATACAACACGCAGTAATGAAAGTAGCACAAAGACATAGGAAAATGAGAAATACACATGTTATAAATAAACAGATGAGAAATGAATGAGAAGACTTGAATTTACATTACTCTCTATTCAAGCTATTTATGTGTGCAAAGTGATATTTTGTACTAACTTGGTCATACTCTACAATTTTGTAATTGACATTTTTCTGTATTATGCATTGTTTTCCAGTTAAGTGCACTGCAAGTGCTCTTATCTAACTTAGTAACTTACTTACTAAGTTAGTACGTAGTTACTGACTTAGTAACTATAACTATACATCACATTCATACCTGTAGCTATATGGTTTGTCAGTTTTGTGGATGTATAAGGGCTTTACTATGCACCTTGTATATGACAGTTTATTTTATTAAGTAACCCTTTAGAAATGATTTCAATTAAAAAAGAATAAATTATCAATTATATGATTTTGACAAAATTCTCCGGACAGTAAATGTAGGGTCACAAAAATAAAAACACTATAAAAAAAAACAAGAAGTCTTATTATGTCCTTTCTCTCATCTCAGGAAATAACAGTCTTATGGTAGAGTTGACCTTTATTGAGAGGCTACTCATCTGCCTCAGTATGTAAAATTCTAAATAGAAATTGATTCCATGGTAAGGCTTTCTTCTTGAAATGTGAGGTGTGAGAAAAGATATAATAAGACTTCTTTTTTTTTATTGTATAGTCTTTTATTTTCATAAATTTATCAATTATATGAGTTAACTCTGCATATTTCAGAATTTGAATATTCCAGTTTGCCTTGAGAGAAAACTGCATTCTAATAGCAAATAATAAAGTCGACAGAATAATAAATTTGAATTTTTACCATGTAGTATGTCTTATTCAAAGCATTTAACTATGTTAATTAATATAGGATAGCAGCTGTTCAGTTCCTACTACAGATGTTTTAAAATGTCCAAATATCTAATATAATTGTCAAGAGTTAAATAATTAATAAATTTTTTAGAAAGTTTTCATAATTATCATTTATAAAATATATTTTAAAGTTGTACTACATCTGAACATTTTAATTAATCACATCTTCATTGAAAAGCAGTAAGATATTATTCTTAACCAAAAGGATTATGTTGAGCAGACTGTATATGTAACATTTAAATTTATGTAAATAAACAAGCATTACAAGGTCTGTTCAAAAAGTATCGGACCTTTATTTTTTTCGCGTAAACCAATGATGCGCGAGAGGCCTCCTTCGGTGGAGTTGTGGAGGGGACAGTCATGCACAGCCCTGAATTTTTTCCCGCCTGCAGGAAGCGTCAGTCGTTGGCAATAGGCCTATGAGTGAGGTCATGTAGTGCGCTCTCGTCGGATTTCACTAAGCTGGAAAATGACTGAACAACGTGAGCAGCGATATTACATCAAATTTTGCCAAAAACCTTGGCGATACCCGAGTGTAAACCATTCGCAAGATTCAGCAGGCTTTCGGGGACGATCCTCGAGGCCAAAAAAAGCGCGGCAGGTCCGCAGCAATATCAAAGGTCATGTTGACAGTTTTTTCGACTCTCGTGGGGTGGTGTGTCGTGAGTACGCACCACAAGGCCAAACCATCGCAAAGGAGTACTACCAGGAGGTCCTTCGTCGTCTTTCCGATACAGTGCGATGCAAACGATGGGATCTGTGGTCGATCAAAACTTGGCAGCTCCATCGTGATAACGCATCCGCCCATTCTGCGCATCTGATTCGGGCTTTCGTCGCCAAACACAATACTCCTGTGGTTCGTCACGCTCCGTACTCTCTCCACATGGCTCCGTGTGACCTTTGGCTATTTCTCAAGCTGAAAATGCCGCTAAAAGGAACCCAAATTTAGTCGAGAGAAGACATCATGCGAAATGCGACGGACCGGCTGATAACCATTCCAAAAGATGCGTTCCAGCAGTGTTTCCAGCAATGGCAGGAACGCTGGGAGAAGTGTATACATTACCAAGGAGACTACTTTGAAGGGGATTAGGGTTTTGTACCTCAAAGTCAATAAATTTATTTTTGCCGACCAAAGGTCCGATACTTTTTGAACAGACCTTGTATAATCTTAACACAAAAATATTTTGGCGTCTTCCTTTCTATCTTTTTCACTTCACAGGAACATAAGTGTAAGAATAAGTAATATCATAGTAAAGCAGAGTTCAGCTTTCTTTTTTAATCTCATTCTTAGGACTTTAGCAATTTTACACATTTAGGCAGTAAAGAACCTGAAAAACTCTTGTAATTGGAAAAGTGCAAACTTTTTTATAACAAACTGCAGTTTTGAATTTTATTGTTATTAAATTTTCAAATAAATATACCTGATATTTAAATAATAACAACTATAACCCAATTTTAATTAATAAAATCCAAACAACCTGCCAAATTATCAGGCTAAAAGCAGACCAATAATTCAGATAAATAATTGTTTGAATTCTAATATTTAATTTAATGATTTGTATCTTCTTGCTTTCCAGAAGCATTTTGAATCATAATAAGTGTCACTTCATTATAGTAAACATTGCCACTCATTCAAAGTCCATAAGAATCCAAATAAATATAACTACTAATTTTCTACTACTAACTGAGACATTATTTACTTAGACAATGTTACAAGGAAAACACTCAAAGACTTTCTCTCCTTAGTATACAGAGTAAGGATGCGACTATGCAGATGCAAATTTAGTAGTGAGTGAGAGGTTGCGAGCTATTTAGATATCTCGCAAAGAAAAACATGTACAAGCGAGAAGCAAGAAATCTCATTGGCATGAGCGAATTTCAGGTTCTTGCACATATATGACAGGTTTGATATTTATTGCATCTCGCCTCTTCTTGCTCACTTGGAAAATTTGCTTGCTCACGTCTGCATAATTCTACCCTAAATCTCTGACTACCAAAATTTGTAGTGGTAACTCAACTAGATTGAAAATGGTTTATGCAATTTATTTTTCAATATTTGTATACAGCTGTCAACTATAAATAAGTAACATAATAAATATTTATATACACTCCTTAAAAGTAAAATCACAACACCATGAAAGAATGTGTATAGCCACATGCAAATTGCAGGACCAGTAGAGGTGACAGAGATGTGCAAAAAATTAAGTTTGCATATACATCAGGTCATGTAATACCTACCCAGTTTCAGGCTATAAAGACCAGCAGCCAGCTTGGGCCGTAAATGCTATCATCAACATTTCACAGCATCCAAACTTTTTAAGTTCGAATGAGTTTTATGAAAAAGTATAAATGTTAATAATGAATTAAATTTTCATAAAGTACCACCCTTCTAAACCTTTTACTGGTATTCAACTTGTGCTGGCAATAGGTCATGCAGTACTCATTTTCATAGCTGTTTCACGTCATAAAATTTTGTTATGAATAGTCTATATTGAGAACAAATGAGCCAAGCTCATGAGATAAGTGAAGCAAATCACTTACTCATGGAATTCAAACATTTTCTTGTGAGACATTAAAAAGAAATCATGTTGTTTGACTGATTTGAAAAAATAGTAGTTTTTTCTGGTCTAAAATCTAAAGAGTGTTCTATGTTTTTGATGGATAAAGTCTGAAAGGAAAGTTTTTTCATGTGATTTATATAATATTTTTGTTTTTTCAATTAATTTGAGTATAGAGGTGCCTTTCGAAATGGATCTAGATTTAGTTTATGAATCCTCACTTAGAATTAGACAGATGAAGGTATATAAATTAAAATTTTTGTTATGAATAATCTATACTGGGAACAAGTTGGTGGCTATATGCAGTACATGGGAGATGCTCCTACTATACTTAAAATAATCACTTCTTAATTAATTAACTTAATTGAGAACTGCCATAAAAAGTAGATTTATTTGGTTATAGTTTAGAGCAGTGTTTTTCAACCTTCTTGAATATGTGACCCCTTTACAAGTTAAAAAATTCTGGAGACCCCCCAGGCCAGATTTTAAAAACTACATATTTGATTTTCTTTCTTTAAATATTGATCGAAAAACCAATTGTACTGTAAAATAAACAGGCACAGCCTTCTCACTGAGATTCTAAATTTTTTTATTGTAGTGTAGGACCTACAAACACTTGTCTTTTTCTTTCACCCACGAACCCCCATGTAAGGCTTTGCGATCCCCCTGGGGGTCGCGACCCACAGGTTAAAAAACACTGGTTTAGAGTTTTAAGTGACTGTTATGATTACTATTACAATTAAAACTGATCAATACCCAGAACTGACCTTACTATCATCAAAAATACAGGCAAAAGATTAAATTTGGTACTTCATTAAAGTCACTTTAACTTATCTTTACCAAAACCAATTCCAGTAATAATAATTTGATATTTACAAGAGATAAAATTGATATGGGTAGAACTTTTGTCATAGATATATCTCACAAAATTTTTTACTAAAAATTTCACTATACAGATTATTTAAAATAAGTTTGCGATAAAATTAAATTCTGAAAAGACTAAACTGTTTAGTTTTCATTTTAGATAATTTAATTTCAATAGAAAATATTTAAATATAATAAATTTATGTGATAACATAAATTAACAAAGTCAGAATGACATCAAGTTTTCAGTGTTTTTTGATTTAGAAATCAAATACAAACTGTATATACAAGATAAAGTTCATATTATAATAAAAACAATCAATTTTATACAAATTTAGAATATTTTTATTTATTTACACATATTTTAGAAGACCAGAACTATAGCACATACAAAAACATTTTTACAACTGTAGGAAAATAAGGGGAACATAAAAGAATGATACGTTCATGCACAAACTTTTTAGAAGGATGAATAATGTGGAAGGAAGGACTAAAAGTGCATTATTTACACACAAATTTGGTCTTATAGCAGGAAAAATCAAGGATCAAAGTGCACATGCACAGAGATTAAAAATTGGAGCAATTAAGTTTGATAAATTATTCATTAATATTTAGTTAAATATTTTCTTCAAAGTATTTAATTGAGAATAATTAAAACTGTTGATATATTAATTCAGATAATACTTAATCAAAATTCAACCAATGTTTTTGCTTATAAGTATTCTATGCTTGATTAGATTATTATTGTAACTTGGCTTAGTGATGGGCAGTGCCATCATATTATAATCAATAGATAATTTGAGGTAAAAATGAATCTGGAATAATTTAGTTCAGGTATCTGAAAGTATAATTTGTATTACATACAGTGTGTTTTCTGTATATATTTTATGAATTTTACAGCTACAGTTAAATTGTTTAAAAAAGTTGTTAAAATGTTCTTTTTGACTTTTCTTATCACTTCATATAAGAATTAAAGTACATTTGTTTATACTTAAGCAACTTAACTTAAGCACATAACTCTTCCGTGATCTTTTCATCCAACAAAATAATTCTATAAACAACACTGTGATTTCAAGTTCTTTTTTTTCCTTATAAATGGTAGAGCTATATTTTTAAAATTGAATATCTATTTGTGATATGAGAAATACTCTAGTTATCACAACATTAAATTTTATCTTGACTTCAATATTAGTAATATACACAAATAAACAGCAATAATAATACTAATAATAGTTTTAAAATACTTAACAAAAATTTTAATTGATGTTGATGACAAATTAAATAGAAAGTATAGTACACTCTGTTCTTCTCTGGTGCCACTTGCTAATAACATTGATTCCATATGTTAACAGGCCCACCAATGGCCAAGCAGTTTTCGTACTCTGAACACTGGGAGTTTGGTCGTGGGTTTGCACCTTGCTCGGACGGGCTGGCCACGTGGAGTTTTCCGGATTTTCTCCACGTCTGTAACACCTAAATAGGGGCCAGTTTCCCTTAAAAAAGACCTCGCAGAAGGCATTCCCATAGGCAGACCTCCCAAGTGTTGCATTACCATAACTAAATAAACAAACCATATGTTAACAAAGCATACAACTACTTTTCCAAGGTGCAACTCCAAAGCATAATGAAGCAAATGTAACTGTTGAATAGCCAACATTTTTTAAAATTAAAATTTAACTACAAATAGAAATAGTATATACGTAAACAAATTTGCACATATATGCCTTCACAAAAATTCCATTATTTAGACCGGCATCGTCGCCACGCCATAAAATGTCATTTTTGGCAACTTGTCACCTTGGTCAAATTAAGTAAAATTGATGAAAATCTATCATATACAAATTATTATTTGTTCCCAATGAACTATTTTACACTAAAAAAATCATTATTATTTTAACCCAAAATAAACAATTTTAGTTTTTAAATCAAGAATAATCTTCAATTTAAATTTAAAAATCATCTCTAGATAATTTTTAACTTTAAATTAGCTAAATTAAATAAATAATAATGCAGGTATTTAAATATTTATCAAATTCTATATTAAGTCAATAATGTATCTTTTATATCTTATGACCGTCATAGGCATTCTACACAGCAAGTACATTACGCGGAACCGTAAGATATAGAAGCGATATATTCCACAAAAGTTTGTTAAAAATTTGGTAGTTTATTAATCATTTTAAAATCTATCTCTTGTCAAGCCTCAGACTTCGAACGCGTCACATTTATATTTAAAAAAAAAAACCATAGATCAGTGTAGTATAAACAAAGTGAATTTGTTTATAAAGAATGAGATGTTTTCTAGAAAAGTATATATATATTGAAGCTAATCACATGATCCAAGTGGAATTATATCCATAAAGGGCAAGTTAACTCTAGCACAGAGATCATATAATTGTGTAATCAATAAGTTAAGGATATATATGACGACATTATAGATTAAATAGGGCATTTGTGGAAATTAATAGCTTATAAACTGTATCAGAAATCATTAAATAATGACGAGAACATTCATTATTAATTATCAGATAGGTTTATATGAAGATTTTTGTAATAGATGCTTAAAAATGTATTGTCACAGGTCAAAATAATTGTGTGCATTAGTTAATGGGATGAAATGAGTCACGTGTTATAATTAAACTATTTTAAAACAAGATCTGAATGAAGTAAACTCACTGTGGCTGAATAACCTTCACCCGCATCCATCTGATCTCCGGCCATTTCCTACGATCAGATAACAGGGAAAAGAACCCGCACGCCTTTCTTCGTTACTAAACTACATTTCGGTCGAAAGGTGCATCTGAACCGCCAGACAGATGGTTGTGACGTCAATTGATATCTCCTACGAACCACGTTTCGAGTCGGACATCGATACGCATAAAACAGATGATAACCTACGTCGAAACGATGCATTGGCACCCTCGCGGAGAAATTGAAAATAGTAATTTTTGGAAAAAAAAATAAATAAAAAAATTCTTTCTGCAACTTAAAAATTAGAAACATTGAAAAATCATGTTTTTATATAATTAATTAAATATTAATATTAACTAAATTAAAGATCGTATAAAGTCGGTTTCATACCTTGCGATAGAAATTTGCCAGCAAAATGAATGACCGAGCGGAAGGCGTCGGGCTATCGCTATGGGTAAACACGGAAACGAATTCGATTTGATCGAAAAATCTGTAAAAATTCCGTCCCGGATATGTCGTCTCCCGGCCACTCCCTGACCAAATTCACGATGGGTTTCCTAAAAAGGATTTCTCAGCGTTTACAGGCTGCACGGTATTCTCTCTTCCCAGCTAGACTTTCCCTTGTCTTCTTATTCCTCGCATGGCGAAAAGAGTTAAAAAAGAAAAAAAGTAAAATCCCTAATTTCTTTCTTAGGTGGGAAAACCGTTCCCTAAGGCATTGCTTTTCTCCCTTCCTGGCACATATATATCTTTGGCCAGAAAGGGAAACTATTCAAGGTAAAATGTTTTTAGAGAAACTAGGAGACCGTGGCTGTAATCATGACAATCTCTCCCCTTTTTTGGACCCGATCACTTTTATAAAATTTGTAACTACCAGAGATATCCGGCTTTAATCGGGAAAACTGTTGAAAAAGTATTACAATTGTGTCCCATTCACGCCGCCCGAAATTCGTCATTGATATCTCTGTTTATATTTAACGCTAGCTTTACTCTATTGTTTATAAGTTTATCGATAGCGTCATAAATTTTATCAATTGAAACTGGAAACAATCGATTATACCTATTTAGATAAAAGTTTCGAAATCGATGGATCTGATTTATTCCTTTCGCAATTATTAGGAGAGCGAACGAGTTCGAAAGGTTATCGAAATAATCGCAAAATGTACTTTGACATATTTATTCATATGATATACAGTATACATATTAATGCTCATAGAATTAAAAAGGGTGTAAAATATTATACACGTGAAAAATAAAATGGAATTGATAAGGAGAAATGCAAAAAATGGCCACTGAATTCAGGAAAAGGTATCTTCCTCGTTGCTAACCAAGGTAGACTTTCAAGATTGCATACCGAAGTACAATAAAGAGTATCGATTGAAATTCGCAAGAAATAAAATTCAATATGTTACTTTTTATGTTTAATCATTTCCGTATTAATTTACAGAGGACTTTGCTTTTAACGTCATAATATTATCATCTTACTCTCTGCTTAATTTACGTCTGGAAAGTCTTTGTTCCACAGGACAATCCATCAATTGGTGTCTCAGCTGCATCAAAATTATGGCTTGAAGCAAATTCCGTGAAATTTCTTGACTGGTCAGCCAGAAATAGTAATTTAAATCCCACGGAAAACCTGTGGGACGTTCTGGCCCACGAAATATATAAAATTAACATAAATACAAAAACAAGCGTAATCTGATGTCAGCCTAAAACTTAACGCAAATGATTAGAATAATTGAAAAAAAAGCATTTATCTTAATTATTAACGCTTTTACATAACATAATCAATTAGTTTTATTAGATTAAGTCTACGCGCCACATGGACATTCTGCCTAGGAGGAAATGCCTCCCGGGAGGTCTTATGGAAAACTAGCATTTATTTAGGTGAAGAAAACCTAGAACATTCTCCATGTAATTGTAGGAATTTATAATATATTTTTAAATCTTTTCTTCCATTCTCCATTACTGTATTAAGGCTATACAAATAGTAACAAAACTACTAACAAGGTCTTAATGTGGTTTGATGGGATACGGCAACATAACACATGGATGATTTATCACGGGAGATGCATCCCCAGAAGATTTTCTATAAAAAATTAGCACCTAGTTAGGTATTAGACACCAGAAAAAAAGTTGAAAAATTCCGCCGGCCTGCTCGTTTGTCGGGTGCAACTCGAAACCAACTATTATTTTTTCGTGTTTTATCCATTCGGCTACTACTGGGCTACTAGAAAGATCTTATAAGTTGATGCATAAATGCCAGTGTAAAAGAACATATCCTCCAACTGAAAGATTCGGGTCTTTCTGGTAGATGGATCAGGTAAGGTTTATCATGTAAAATAAAAATAAAAACTCGTACGCGTTAAAAGAAAACTTTTATCAAGGGTATCAAATTTGATTATTTCACAACTTTGTTAATTAAGTAGATGGTTCCATTTTGTAAGTTACAACGCCATCTTATCTTTGATTTACAGTAATATAGATTTACAACTAAATATCACATTTCTATTTTCAAGGTTTTTAATAACTTACAAAAAATGTTGATAGTTTTATATTTCACAAAAATTGTTCATATCATTTTCTATTTTAATGCTTTAGAAATTAATATAAATATATGAAGTGCTACAGCTGTAATAAACTACATAAATTTTTAATATCAAATTTTAAAAAATAACAGATTATATTATAAAATAAATTTTTCATAAATTTAACCATAAATTATTATATAAAATTACATTCCAACTTCTATTTTTACATCTTAAAATTCTATAAATTCACAAGGATGCAGCTGAAAGAAAACAATAGAAGTAGCCTAATTCGTGTCTGGTACGATGTATTTCACCATTCCCGTATTGTTCTTAATTAAAACCCCTTAACGACCACCTGTAATTAATTATGATGTAATTAAGCATAAAAAATACATAAAAAATACTTAAAACTGAAAAAAACGAAAGAAATGCGTTAATTTTGAAGAAAAAGCTTCAAATTTTATTTTCCTTTGTCTCGCCTTTCTGCGAAATTTAACACCGATGAGTCATTGTTTACACAGCTGGATGACCTTGAACACAGCTGGAGTCGGATTTCCCGGACATTCTCATATACGTCTCGGGAGGACAAGGGTTTAAAGTAGGGTGAATATGACCGACACGTATATTTTTAAATATTTTTAAAAAATTAAGATTTTAATTGCGATTTCCGACCCCCCCTAATTAATTAAATTAATATATTAAAAAATCGATTAATTAAAAAAATTAAAAAAACTTTCGGAAGTCGTTTTTGACATCAGAAAGCAGCTTTAAATAACTTTATCGAAGTCAAATCCGTGCACTACAACCATGAAATAAATTTGATAAAAAAAACTCCCATTAAAAAACAATTAAGCCTTAATCGAGCTTTATCAAAGGCTTATTAAAATCACGATTAAATTTTTTCGCGCGGACAAAAAATTTTGAAAATATTTGAGGACCTAAAAAACATTCCAAAAATTCCAAAAAAAAAAAATTTTGTCAAAAGTGACCTTAATGTTTTTATCTACATACGTTGAAGGTGCGAACACATTTTAATTTTATTCTGAATACTTTAAATGAGTATTAACTTGGAATAATTATTTTTTCAGGAACTGTAGAAGTAGAAAGTTTAGTTGTTGGTGATTGCAATGAAAATTTTGATCAGGTGGCTTGCAAACTTGACTGCAAGGGAAAAGAATTTCTTTTTGGATTGTGTTTGCGGTTACCAGATACTGAAGATACGTCCTCCTGTGTTTGCATAGGAAAACGTCCGCCGGGCTTCCCAATGTAGTTGTTTTAAACTCTTATTATTTGTTATATACACGGTAATCTGACAATTAT